GGGAAATATGGAGAACTGCCATACCTAGTCCAAACGCGTGTATGGTTTGATAACAATTTCTGGCAGAGAGTTGGCATTGACAAGTATAGCATTAACTATAGCGGGCACCCTTTTGTCGTCGTTCGCACAGGTGATTTTGACCTTCTTAAGATGCTCACAAATAAACGACATGTCTGGCATCTCTGATTGTGGGTAACTCATCCACTGTTCCCAAGCCAAACCTCCAATCTGGTGAGAAGAAGTGAAAACGTATCAGTGTGGTGATTACAAAGCAAAAAAAAAAAAAATCCATTTCAATACCACTCCAAGATGCAGAGTAAGTTTCTCCAAGATTGGTGAGCATCGAAGCAAGTGGATCAAAGTGTGCAACTCTCCATCCACACACCAATCACTGACAGACAGTTTTTTTAGGCTGTTGAATGTCCGGCACCTCCAGAGATCCCTTTTTAGTACCTCATTTTGCATTAACTGAAAAGCATCATCCTGCAATAGCATACAGAGACATCAGCTATAAAATAGAAAAAGAAAAGAGAGATGAAATCATGGCAGTGCCAGAGCTCAGATCATACATTGAATTGTCCTATTAGCAACTTCAGATTTTTAACATTTGACAAAGCACTGAGGATGTTGTATTTCATATGAAAACATGGGAAGGACATATCATCAAGGCGAAAGTAAGCTTTTTCCACGGACGATGCATTCAAAAGGCAAGGAGCTAAAAAGGGAAGGTACTCCAGGTGGAGGGAAACAAGGCTCGGGGTATCTATCACAAGATCTTTGAAATCGTCGTGAACAAGATCACCATTGTCAGGGCTATGTGAGGTAAAGGTTAAATTCTTCAAAGAGGAAGAGGAAAATCTGGTTGCATATACGCAACAGTCTACCATCACAAGATCTTGTAATGCTGGACAGCCAGAAAAGAGATTCTCAATGAAGAGGTCACTGATGGAAACATAATTGAGGCAGAGTATTTTTAGATGGGACGATATGAAGGAAGAATGGTCTAGATTAGAATATTCAAAATGCTTCTCTTGGATATTAATCTCACGGACATTGCTCCTCAAAGCATAGCCAAACCACAGGTTAGCTCTGTCATGGTTCAAGGAAACTCTACCATATGAGTTACACAAGAGAAGGCTATCTAGAGGCACGCAACCACGGCGCAGTACTAAATTGTCCATGAAATTCACATATGCCGCCTCGCTGGTGAATTCAGATCCTTTGATGTTGAGGCACTGCAAAGATTTCCAAATATGGCGCCACCTACTGGACAGCACGCATGTCTGTACAGCCTCCCTTGCAGTCATGAAAGAGAGGATATGTTGGAGCAACTCATCAGGGAGGCTGCTGATAAAGTCATAGGTGCTGGCCTCTAGTGCTGTTGGTCTCATACACTTGTTGGACATTCTCATCAGTCTCAGAGACATGCACTCAAACACGTGGTGAACAATAGCCCTACACAAACCAGAAATATACATGTTAGTGAAAGTGTAAGCGACTTTGGAAAATGTAGCTATTGAATCCAATATAGTAATGATTGCTACGCGAATATAACAGACATAATGGACAAAACCATGAGGTAATCATTTTTTTTTTCAGAGAAGAATCCATTGGATTCCCAGTTACTATTTGACAAAACCAGTATCCTTAGTCTAGGATATATCATGGGACTTATGGCACCTCAACTAAATCCCACAAGGTAGACCAACAAGGGAGCCATCTTGTCTGTGCCTGGTTTCGATAAGTAATAGGATCACATTTCTTTCCTGTCACAACTCGTAACCCTTCTCAATCTCTACAACCAATTTCCAACTCTACAACCATTTATTTCGATAAGTAAAGCATGATTAAATTTATCACAGAAAGACACCAATTTCCTAGACCCGTTTCACAAGACACTACTTTTCTTGTGCTAACACCCTGAAAGGTAGACTAGTAAGTACTGTATCAGGCTCAACCTCACATGAAGTTTTTTTTGAGTGAAGTGCACCAGCGGTCTCTAAACTTGTGCGGATGTGTCATCTAGATCTCTGAACTCTCAAAATGCATTTTTAGATTCCCGAACTTGTTTTGCGTATCATATAGGTCCCCGAAGGCAGGCATGGCTGCAGGTTGCCACGCTCCTACACCTTGCCACGTGAATAGGGCCATGCACTGCATGCATCTATCCACACGTGCTACCGAGCGAAGGCTGCGGAGAGTCGCGTGGTGCCAGCGGAGGGTGCCGGTTGCCGCTCATGGCGGCGCCGCTAGGAGCTCGCGCAGGCGGACATAAGCGGACTCGGCTGCGGCCGACGCGGAGGTGGCTCCGCACTGCATTGGTTGGCGGAGGCCAGCAAGTAGCTGCGGTGGTCTGGCCACCGTGTCGCGTGGAGGGGTTTGCCGTGTCACACCTGGGCGGGGAGGCGACGTAGCTGCGCGCGACCGGCGGAGTCGCACGTGGCGGCGGCGGCGGCGAGCCGTACGAGGTAGCAACGTCGACAGCAGAGGAGTCACGCGTGGCCACGGAAGCGACAGAGCCGCGCGCGGACGCGGAGGTGACGCCATGGTCCACGCGGAGGTGGTCCCTCGACGGCGCTTGCGGCGAGCCGGAGCTCAAGCTGAGGCGGAACAGCCTCACGCTGAAGGACGCAGGGCCACCAGGGTCCCAGTTAACCGGCCTTGGCCGTGGCGAGAGGTGAGAGTGGAGGTCGCGGAGCGGCATGCGGGTTATTCAGCTGAAGCCAGCGGAGTGCTTGGCGGAGCTAGCCGCCATGCACATAGCGTGCGCCCATGCATGCTACATATGCATGCAGCATGGGAATCCAATGCATGCCGCCGTGCATGAAACCATAACGGTATAACTATGCGGGCTAATTGAACAGAAGCGGCGTCGCTTGCGGCGCGGAGGCGGAGGCGGCGGAGCTCGACGCGGAGGGCCGGCTGAGGCTGCCTGGGCCGAGGTGGGTGCGGCATCGCCCGCAGCGAGGAGGCTAGTGTGGCGCTGCTGACGGAGCCTACACACGTAGGCCGGCGCGCGCATGCCGGTGAGCGGAGGCGGTGGAGCTCGACGCGGAGGTAGAGAGGAGGAAATATAGTTTTTAATTTTATTTTTATACATATGACTGACATGTGGGGTCCTCACTGACACGTAGGCGTCACCGTGCGTAAAAACATGACACGTCATCGGATAGACCTATATGACATGCAAGACAAGTTCGGAGACCTAAAAAAGCATTTTGAGAGTTCAGGGACCTAGATGATACACCCACACAAGTTTAGGAACCACCGGTACACTTCACTCTTTTTTTTCCAAGAACACATATCACGATACAGCCGCCGCACAAAGAACAAAATTTTACTCCAGTACATAACATTGCCCCCACCCCACCCAAAAAGAATCCCCAATAACAGTAGACCTCACAAGTTCTATCTTGAATGCAGCAGTAAAGCATTGTTAATCCATTTTCAGCCAAGATGATGCTGGTGACCACCAGTAAATACAAAAAACGTATTTCACCTGATTCACTCAACCAACCCTAACGAGGAGAAAACTTAGGATGCCAAGAAGCTGCTCTGCTACACAAAACCTGGAGATGGATTCTAATAACTCGAGTGGACGTCCACCCGTTTATTGCATGTCATCTAAATGGTTATGAAATTTTTTTAAAAAAATTGACAAAACTCAAAATACTATACGTATATTTACAGTTAAATTTGTTATTTTTGTTACAACTTGCAGAAGTTGAATTTGAACTTGCATGTTTGTGGAGTCATATGTTACATATAGATCTATTTTGTTAATTTTTTTAAAAATTTTTCATAACCACTTAGATGACATACAATAAATGTCCACTCGAGTTCGAGCTTCCAGTAGATCGATGGAGCCGGAATGAGAAGGATGAGAAGCACAAGTAGCACGCACCAAGGGTGACTGGAGGCGTGCGCTCCGGCGGCCGCTTCCGCCTACCTCGGCGGCGCTCCGGCGAGGACCAGCCGGGAACCCTACCGCCACGTGGCGGCGCGGCGCAACTGCAGCGGTGAGGCGGGCAGTGTGACCACCAGACTGAAGCTTTGACCGAGTTCTGGATAAGGACGCGCGCATGAATCACTGACAGGTGGACCCCACATGAGAAACCGGCCCGCATGTCAGTGAATGAAGCAACGAATCAGCTAGAATGGGCCGCACGTCCATCGCGAACCCGCCCTAGTCCAACATATCATGGGCCTTGTACGGAAATCGTAATTTTTTTCAGGCCCAACCTATATGGCCCGTATAGAGCCCACAGTTCCGTTATGGCCCAACTTAGATGGGCCCGCATGGTTTTAAATGGCGCGAGCTTATTTATTGCTGCATGGTTTTACTGGTTTACTCAAGCGAAATTACTCCTAAAAAGTTATTACAAATAAAGGAAAGATCAAGGAATAATGTACAGTAAATTTGCTGAGTAGACAACAGACTAACAGATTTAGGAGGTCGTAATGTATATATACATCTTGCCTTTTGCACAAAATAAGGCCAAAGACCAAAGTGTCATTCCCCTTCTGTCATTTCTAAGTTTGTTCCTTTCCCTAATTGATTTCCCTGATGTAAGCAGATTATTATCGTTAAATATTACTTGTCTTCCATCCGGACTTGTAGCAGCAATGCCATCCATGAATTAATGCATGTGAACAGTCTAGCTCAACTTGTTTGCATAGTTGCATGGTGTTGCCCTTTTGAAAATCGATGAACCAATAATCTCAGAATTAGCATGCATTGCCGACTCGATCGATTATGATCGACTTAATCATGCTGACAAAGTTCAGTTCAGGCACAGTGCAAACGATCGCGAACGTACTGTCTGAACTCTGAACGTCAGAACTTTGGTTGCCTGGAGTCCTGGACAGTTGTGGATTTGTGATGTCAAGAACGAGCTAGAGCTGAGCTAGGCCGAGACTTCTTCCTTTCTCCAAACATGCTTTGACCTGTTAGATTCACATATATTTATAGACAATCAAGATCAAACTGAACAATGATGTAAAAAGAATTGGACTTAACTCTAACTGCAGTTTTTGCGACATATACATATAAAGAGCACTCTCCACGGCCAAGTTTAATTTTGGGGTGAAAAATGTCAAAAGATACATGACTTGCTTAGACTTCAGTCTTCAAACACAAAACAAATAACAAGTACCATGATGATGCTGATGGATAAAAGTTTCAAGTGGAAGAACAGCAGTAGTAAAAAGGATTTCCAGGAAGATTTGGTACTGGGCAGAGCAGTATGACCCACAGCAACTCTCATCTTTAACATATAAACTACAAACTGAACATGGGTTGCCGATCATGAGGATCTAATCACTGATCAGAGGACCATGCTCGTACATCTGCCCGAGCCCAAGTGCCGAACCTACCTACAAGTTAAAATGGTGTCTGTAAATGCCTTCACGACTATAGAAAACCAGTGCTGTAAGGTGAAAACAGCCATACCTAGTCGAAACGCTTGTACGGTTTGATAACAATTTCTGGCAGAGAGTTCGCATTGGCAAGTATAGCATTAACTATAGCAGGCACCCTTTTGTCGTCCTGCACACAGATGATTTTGACCTTCTTAAGACGCTCACAACTGAACGACAGGTCTGGCGTCTCTTCTTGTGGGTAACTCATCCACTGTTCCCAAGCCAAACCTTCAATCTGGTGACAAGAACTGAAAACATATCAGCATGGTGATTAGGAAGCAAATAAAAACTCCAGTCAGGTAAGATATCTTTACCATTCCAAGATGCAGAGTGAGTTTCTCTATGATTGGTGAGCAACGAAGCAAGTAAATCAGCGCGCTTAGGTCAACATCCACATACCAATCATCGACAGACAGTTTTTTTAGGTTATTGAATGATTGGCACCTCCGGAGATCCCTTTTTAGTACCTCGTTTTGCCTTGAACGAAAAGAATCATCCTCATCCTCATCCTCATCCTGCAATGGCATATAGAGAACTAGAGACATCAGCTATAGATCATGAAAAACAAAAGAAAATCATGGCAAAGCTAGAGCACAGATCATACATCGTATTCTTCATTTAGCAACTTCAATTTTGTTACATTTGACAAACCACTGAGGATGTTGTATTTCGTATCAAAACATGGGAAGGACATATCATCAAGGCGAATGTAGGCTTTTGCCACGGATGATACATTCACAAGGCAAGGAGCTAAAAAGGGAAGGCACTCCAGGTGGAGTGAAACAAGGCTCGGGGTATCTATCACAAGATCTTTATAATCATCGTGAACAGAATCACCATTGTCAGGGCTATGTGAGATAAAGGTTAAATTCTTCAAAGAGGTGGAAGAAAATCTGGTTGCATACACGCAACAATCTATCATCACAAGATCTTGCAATGCTGGACAGCCAGAAAAAAGCTTCTAAATAAAGAGGTCACTGATGGTAACATTACGAAGACGCAGTATTTTCAGATGGGACAATATGAAGGAAGAATGGTCTAGATCAAAATACTCAGAATAATGCTCACAGATGTGAAGCTCACGGACATTTCTCCTCAAAGCATAGCCAACCCACATGTTAGCGGTGTGATGGTTCAGGGAAACACTACCATGTTGATATAGCGTATACATGCGAAGGCTATCTAGAGGCACGCAACCACGGCGCAGTACCAAGTTGTCCATAAAATTCACAAATCCCATCTTGCTGGTGAATTCAGATGCTTTGATCTCGAGGCACTGTACAGATTTCCAAATGTGACGCCACCTAGTGGACAGCACGCATGTCTGTATGGCCTCCCGTGTAGTCATAAAACAGAGGATATGTTGCAGTGACTCATCAGGGAGGCTGCTGATAAAGTCATAGGTGCTGGCCTCTAGTACTGTTGGTCTCATACGCTTGTTAGACATTCTTATCTCCCAGTCTCATGGACAATTCACTCAAATATGTGGTGAACGATATACCCCTGCACACAAAACCAGCAATATACATGTTAGTGAAAATGTAAACAACTTTGGAAAATATAGCTATTCAATCTGATGTAGCAATTCTTGCTAAGCAAATATAATAGACATAATGGACAAAACCATGAAGTAATCATCTTTTTGTGTAGAAGAATCCATCGAATTCCATGTGCAATTTGACAAAACCAGGATCATTTAATTCCTTAGTCCATTACATCTTGGGAACTAATGGCACCTAAAGTAAAGATGCATGGTTTTCCACGAATCAGACCAACAATGTGAGCCATCTTGTCTGTGCTTGATTTTGATAGGTAAGAATGTAAGATGATCACTTCTCTTTTCGACATTACCTTTCACATGCCATAACCCTTCTCAGTCTCTACAACCATTTACAAAGAAGGTTCATATTTAGCATAGAAAGACACCAAGTTCCTAAACTTCACTTCTGATGGACATTAGAACAACGCTCCTTCTCACAAGTCTGTACTAATCTTTGGGGCTAACACCCTGAAGGGTAGACTAGTAAGAATCAGGCTAACCCTCACACATCAATTCTTTTCTCAAGGAATAAAATGCTCCAAAAAACCCCATCCCTCATCTCTTCATTTCAAAACCCTCATACATTCAGATAGCATAATACTCCAGAACATATTAACCCGATCCCTAAAAATTGGACCAGGTACGTTTACAACACCTCCCCCAAACCCCCACCCAAAAATAAATTAAAGATCCTAATAACCAGACCTCGCAAAATTGACATCAGAAATTCGCAATCATTTCCACCAGAAACTGCGAAATTCATTCACCTGATTCAACCCAAACAAGAAAAAAAAAACTAACGAAGACTACAAGACCTAGGCAGCAAAGCAAGTAGTGCAGGCTACAGGAAGCAACAGAAAAAACCTATCCAGCAGATGGAGATGGACCCGGGAGAAAAAGGGTTAGAGCTGAGGGTGCGCGCGCTCCGGTGCCACTTCCGTCTACCTCCCCGCGGCGGCGGGCGGCGCTCCGGCGAGAGCAACCGCGGGGAGCCCTACCGGCACGTGGCGGCGGCGGCACAAGCAGCAGTGGCACCAGTGGACCAAGAGACCAGAGCCATGAACCACGGACAGGTGGGTCCCACATGATAGATGGGCCCACATGTCAGTGAACAAACCAGCCACACCGACTAAAATTAATGGGCCGCATGTCTGCTACAGTTCCGTTCCGGTCCAACTAAGGGTTGTTCGGTTACACAAGGTTTCGTTTCGGGCCAGGAGTAACAGGTATAACAAGAGACCGGGATTTATTCCGGGTCGAGAACCAATTTACTTATATTAGGTACAATAAAATATCCGGATTAGTTTCACACCTATTGACTAATGGATTGATTTCCGGTCTCTTATCGTCCCTATCATGATTAAGTTGGTTCCCAGCCCGGAATAAATCTCAGTCTCTTATTGTATCTATCATAAATTTTTTACTATACTTATCATTATTGGTTCGAATTAAATCCTTGTGTAACTGAACAAGGCCTAAGGGTTACTCTAGATGGGCCGCATTTCCATGCCTATCCGCAAGTAAAAAAAAAATTATACTGGTTTGGTTTACTCATCAGGCCAAAGAACTGCAAATCATGATGTATACCAAATTGTTCGAATAGAAAACAAATATAGCCCAACTCAATTAGGAAGTCATAAGGTATACATCAATCATGCCTTTGCACTAAACAATGCCAGAGTACCATCTATCCAACTTCTGTCACTTAATTATATGTTCGTTTTCTTTCCTCGATTGATTAATTATTGTTGTCAATTTTATTCGTCTTGTTCCGTCCAGACTTGTAGCAGCAATGCCTCATGTTTAGCTCAACTTGATATATACACGTTGAACAGTTGATCAGCCTAGCTCAACTTGTTTGCATAGTTGCATGATACTGACCTTCTTTAAAAATCGACGAACCAATCTCCAAATTTCATGCACTATCGACGAACCAATCTCCAAATTTCATGCACTACCAACTCAACTGCCAGCCTTGGATTGACTTGATCACGCTGACAAGTTCAATTCGTTTCCGGCACTATGCTAACGACCGGACCAAAGAAATGTACATCTGAACATTTCTTGCTTGGAGATGTCAAAAACGAGCTAGACTGATCAAGTGAGGATTCTTCTTCCTCCTCTCTCTCTCTCCGAATTAACCTGTACTTGATTCTGTTCTCAACTTGGCCTATCAGATTAAACCGCACAAATCAAACTAATAAGAAGAATAGAAGAAAAGGAAATCAAAGAAAAGGACATGACCAAATTGATGGCTGCAGGTGATGCATTTACATATTGCTTGCTGGCCCAATGAGAATGAATGAATCTCTAGAAGGAATCTCTCGGGCTCTCGGCAGCTGCTGCGTGTGAAAGTGTAAAGGGAAGAGGAATCTTCGTCAGCCAATCGACCAAGCTTCCTTGCAGCTCGCAGACCGTAGTGTTCTGGGGTTCGTTGCTGATGGCAGCACCGATCGACGAGGCTGTGTTCGGAACTAATCCCTCCCGCCACACAGAAAACGGAACGATTCATTAGCACGTGATTAATTAAGTATTAGTTTTTTTAAAAAAATGAATTAATTTGATTTTTTAAGCAACTTTCATATAGAAACTTTGTTTTTGCAAAAAATACATCGTTTAATAGTTTAAAAAGTATGCGCGTGAAAAACGAGGTAGATGGGTTGCAAACATGGGGATGCAAACACAGTCAGGCAGCAAAGCAAGCAGTACAGAATACAGGCGCAACAGAAAATACCTAACCGGCAGATGGAGATGGATCCGGGGGCGTGCGCTCTGGTGCCACTTCCGTCTACCTCCCCGCGGCGGCGGGCGGCGCTCCGGCGAGACGGTGAAGCGCTTTCACCAAAGCATGAGCCACAGACAAGTGGGTCTCACACGATAGGCGGGCCCGCATGTCAGTGAACAAACCAGCCACACCGTACTGCTGTAGGCCGCACGTCCGCTGCAATCTCCTTCCGGCCCAACTAAGGATTACTCTCTCCGTTCTAAAATAAGTGATGTTTTGCACTGTTCGTGTCCAATATTTAACCATTAGTCTTATTTGAATTTTTTATGGTTAATATTTTTATTGTTATTATATGATAAAATATAAATAGTATTTTATGTATAACTAATTATTTTTATTTTTTTCATAAATTTTTTAAATAAGACGAACGGTCAAACGTTGAACACGGATATCCACAGCTGCACTTATTTTAGGACGGAGGTAGTAATTTAGATGGACCGCATTTCCGGCCTACCGGCAAGTAAATTTCACTTTGGACTGTTTATTTATAACGGATGTTTTGTCTGTACTACCTTTAACCAATGATTTTACTTTGGACAAGTTAATGTTATCCTTGTTACACTTTGGATCACCCAACTCTTCTATCTAGCATATGAACAAGTACGATGACCTCACTACTACTTGTCAATAAACTTCTGCAGTTATATGTAGACTACTTGTTTCACATATGAGAAGTTGGATGTAGATGGGTATAAGAATTAAAGGTGGTTCAAAGTGACCCAAAAGTAAGATTACTCAATCTAGAATGAAAACATTGGCTAAAGAAGGGTCCAAAGCAAGTGGAATTTACTCTAAATTTTTTGATGTAGAATTATCGATTCCCGCATGTTTTTATTACTGGTTTGGTTTACCCAAGCCAAAATTCTCCTAAAAAATTTACAAGTACTCAAGGCATGATGTACACACCACCAAACTTGTTGAGTAGCCAACAGATTAATAGCCCAACTCAATTAGGAAGTCACATCAATCTCATGCCTTTGCACTAAATAAGACCAAAGTATACCATCCAACTCCTGTCATTTATAATCGTTGTTTCTTTCATCAATTGATTAATAATCCCCTCATGTCAACAGATTACTCTTGTTAATATTATTTCGGCTTTGTTCCTTCCAGACTTGTCGCAGCATTGCCATCCACCCACTGTTACATGTGGAACAATTGAACAGTACTAGCTCATCCACTTGTTTGCATAGTTGCATCATGCTGACCCTTCTTTTAGAAAAAAAAAATCGATGATCCAATATCAAAATTTCATGCAGTACCAAACTACCAACTCAACTCGATTATGATCGAGTGACAACCGCAGTTTCCAGCCTCGGATGGACTTATCACGCTGACAATTCGTTTCAGGAACTGACCGGGCCGAAGAACTGTCTGAAGATCTGAACATTTCTTGCTTTGGAGATGTGAAAAAACGAGCTAGGCTGAGGCTTCTTCTTCTTCCTGCTCTCTCCAAACTACTCTCTCTCTCCAAAAAACGAGCAGGGCAGGCTTTGGATGAATCAATCTATTATCGAGCAATCTTATTGGGAACCTAAATACCCAGTTTCATATCTGGAGCAAGTTTTTAAGAAACTGCTCGGGTTTAGCAAAATCTACCTTTACGAGGTCGTATTGATTGATTGAAAGGCCTGAAAGAAAACGTAGTTCTGAGGGGATTATACCTGTTGGTACCGGATTCTAAAATTCTGTGCACTGTTACTCACAAGACAAGAAAAAAATCAATTTCTGAGTGAATATCTAAGCAAATATTTATTTAGATAGTTGATTTTTTTAAGGACAAAGGGTGTATTAATCTGTACTGGTGATGTTTGGATCCAGAGACTAAACTTTAGTCCCTGTCATATCGGATGAATTTGGAGTATTAAATATAGACTACTTATAAAACTAATTACATAAATGAGAGCTAATTCACGTGATAATTTTTTAAGCCTAATTAATCCATAATTAGCGCATGTTTACTGTAGCATCACATAGGCTAATCATAGATTAATTAGGCTTGGACTAATTCGCGAGACGAATCTATTCAGTCTAATTAATCCATAATTAGCCTATGTGATATTACAGTAAACATTCTCCAATTATAGATTAATTAGACTTAAAAAATTTGTCTCGCAAATTAGTTTTCATTTATGTAATTAGTTTTGTAAGCAGTCTATATTTAATACTTTAAATTAATGTCTAAATACAGATACTAAAGTTAAGTCTTTGGATCTAAACACCACCTTATTCTGTTCTCAACTTGGCGTGTCATATTCAATGGCGCAAATCAAAGTTAAAAGAATCTAGAAGAGAAGAGAAAAAGAAAAGAAAAGGGCATGACCAAATTGATGGATGCAGGTGATGCCATTTATATATTGCTTGCTGGCCCAGTGAATGATGAATCTCTGGAAGGAATCTCACGCAGCTGCTGCGTGTGAAAGTGTAAAGGGAAGAGGAATCTTCGTCAGCCAATCGATCTGGATTTCTTGCAGGGCTCGCAAACCGTGGTGTTCTGGGGTTCGTCTGCTGATGGCAACACCGACGACGACAGGAACCCCAACGCTGACAGGATCGAACACATCTCCCTCCCCCGGCACGATTTGTCCCTCTGTTCGTCCGATCGGTGTCAGGAGGAAAGAGTACGAGCATCATATCGTACCACGGCCGGCCGGCGACGGCGGTTGCACGGCGCCCCGTCCGTACGACCCAGCCAGCTTCCATGACAACGTATATAGCGACATGGACACCTTTGAAAACATTTCTCGTCCAACCGTGCCGTGTCGTGTCTTATTCTGGATATGTTCAAATTCGTAGTATTATGATCGTATTTCGTACTAGTTAATTTAATTTGGGAAGAAAGGAGTAGCTCGTTAGTCCGTGTGTTTAAGTTTTGCGTTTTCGTGGTGAGATTAGTGTTTTTTTTTTGGAGGATTTTATGAAATAGGGTCATAGTTTGTAAGTGATGTCAAATGAATCGTAGCATATATCGATCTGTCCTTAGACTTGTTCAACAATATCCCTTCACATTTTAATGGAAGGAGTATGCATTTTAGCAATTATACCGATGGTTAATTTGGTTTAAACTTGAAAGATACGTATATGTATTATTAGGAAGTTAGAGTCAATTACAGTGACGTGTTGCTAATGCTCGCCAAGGCATGACTTCAATTAGGTGTGCTAGTCTTGTGAGTTACTACCGTGCATTTACTGTGAACTACTGGCCACCAACTCTGGTTGTTGTGCATCATCGGTCACTACACATCAGCCAGACACTCACACATGGCATACATGCATATATCTAGGCAACACGTCGGAAAACAAACAGATCATCCGTAGCAACTATATGTAAATGGTACATCAGCCAAGAACATGATGCTAACTATAACACATGTTAGCCATATTAATCTACCATACACGTGCCACACATGAAACCGTCCTATATATGTTAGCTACATTAATTGTACTATGTTGTGAAGGTAATCAAACCAAAATCACCAATAGCAAAGTTAACCACTACCCCCACCATCCAATTCTCTAATCATCCGTAGAAAAAAAGAATACATGTGAAATGATCATGATCAATAGGTGTTTACCTACAACATCTTCGCTTGTGCATAAAACCTACACATATAGATTGTTAACGGCTTATATTACCCACTACTATATCATTAAATAAAATATGTAATTGAAAGGACATGTAGCTTAGTGGTTGCAGTTCAAATCTCTATAGGATCAAATTTTAGATTGTCTTATTTGATGGCTAAGTTCTATGTTTAATAAGCTAAGTTCCTAATTTAAAAAGTCTGCATATATCTGATTGGATGTATGGTCCGGGTAAAAAAAATACCCATCTCTAAAAAAATAAAAATAAATAAAAAATGTATAGGGCCTTTTTTATAAATTTTTGCTCTACATACTACCTATATTTTTAAGAAAAATAAAAATATACAAAACTTTTTAAATCTTTTTATTCCGGATTCGTCACCGATGATCTTCGTACGTAAGCAATATTTTTTGGGCCGTGACAGAGCTCAGTCCATATGGCTCACACCCATGCCACGCCCACGCCGGCGGTGGACCGTTTTTTACGCACAAGAAAAAAACCGGCAAGGAGTTGACTTTTCTTCCCCGGCGTTGACCAAAAGGAGCTCGTCAACGTGGCCACCCTCCTGGCCGTCGATCTCCATCTGCACGGCCTCCGATGCACCCCTCCCCCCACCGCTCGCCGCCCCTCGACCACGACGTGTCCCGATGACGTGTCGCCGCCGTCGAGCTATATATATACTCGCCTCGCGAGCTCGGCTAGCTTCTCAGGTAGGCCACGAACTCCATAGATTTTTTTTTTGTTTCTCTTTGCTTCGATCGCTTCGTTCTCCATGGCGAGCGGCGGCGGCGGCGGCGGCGAGGCGGTGGAGGAGGGTACGACGACGCGGGTGGGCGACCTGCCGGAGGCGTGCCTGGCGGACGTGATCGCGCTCACCTCGCCGCGGGACGCCTGCAGGCTGGCCGCCGTGTCGCCGTCGTTCCGCGCCGCGGCGGAGTCGGACGCCGTCTGGGACCGCTTCCTCCCGCCGGACTACCGCGCCATCGCGCCCCTGCCGCCGCCGCCGGCTACGGCGGCGGCGAGCGGCGGCAAGAGGATGAAGAAGGGCGTCTACCTCGGGCTCTGCGACAAGCCCGTCCCCGTCGACGACGGCAGCATGGTGCGTAGCTTAATTAGCTAATCGATCAAGAAACTAGTTCATGCCAAGTTCGTCGTCGATCTGCATCGCAAATTCAATTATACACATCCAAATTGAATTGAACCGAATCAAATTGTTCATGGCGGTTGCAGATGGTGTGGCTGGAGAAGGAGAGCGGGGCCAAGTGCTTCGCGCTGCCGGCGAGGAAGCTGAGCTTGCCATGGGAGGACGGCGAGTTCAGCTGGAGATGGACACCTCACCCTCTCTCCAGGTATAATAATACATCTCTTCTTGTCCCTTACATATTTAGCTTTAATTTCCTATAATTCGATTCGATATCTGTGTCATGGATTAATCTCGCGTTTCATTTTAAAATCAATCGTCATAGAATCTTCGCTCCATATGCAAACACATTTGAGTTCAGTTAATTCTCCCAAATTCGGGTAGGAAAATGAGTTGCCTGCACAAGTCGTTCAAAGCAGTTGCTTCCTGTCAGATATATTTCCTGAATTCGTACACCCAAACAATTGAAAACTTGATCGATCGGGCATGAATTAGTTGCGAACTCAAGACTTTTGTTGTGCATGTGGCATCTCACTATCTACGGCGACTTGATAAACAATATTGATTAAACCGCGTAGTGTTATTCTATTTAGCATATCTGTCTCTGTCCTGCACTAACCGCAACAATTCCCTAGTCGTAAGCCTTTTCAACCGAGCCGTGGAAAAGCAGTAGAAATTACAGCCACTGTCAAGTAGAAAGTAATTAATTAATTATCCGCAGAACATTCAGTCACAAAAGTTGCTGAGCACTACTCAAAAATCTTAGGTGATGATCAGATTGCTGAGCAAAGATCGATATCGATCAACTTCCAAGACGTTTCTGATCAAGAACAGTCGACCAGACAGCGACGTCACCCCGGCACTGTCTCCTGAAAGATGCATATATACATGCGTGTATTGTTGCATCCACAAATAAATTAATAGTACGTGTCAATATAAATAAAATTCTGTGATTCCAGATGAGCTGATTCGTCAACATTCATGACGGCATTGAGCAGGAGTTTCCGTTGATCCTTTCTTGGCAGGCATATATAGTCGCATCTGATCAACATCGATTCATTAATGCTAGCTTCTCCATTTCAGTGTTCATCATGCATATTAATTATGGGTGTGTTTAGTTTTTTGGGTGTAAAGTTTTTTAAATATACGGACACACATTTGAAGTATCAAATGTAGACTAATAACAAAACAAATTACAGATTCCGCCTGTAATCTGCGAGACAAATTTATTAAGCCTAATTAATCCGTCATTACCAAATATTTAATGTAGCATCACATTGTCAAATCATGGCGTAATTAGGCTCAAAAAATTCGTCTCGCAATTTACATACAAACTATGCAATTGGTTTTTTTCCCTAGATTTAATGCCCTATGCATAAATCGAAATATTTAATGTGATGTTTTTGCCAAAATTTTTTGGATCTAAACAAGGCCTATATGAAAAGGTAGTAGTTTTGATTAATTAAGCAATCTCATCCATGGCTGCCACGAGCTGCATGATTTGGATTATTTTAATTTACAAGTTCGATTTGATTCCGCTATTGAGGAAAGAAAATTAATTGAATCAATTGTTTTGGTTTAATTGTTCAGGTTTGAGGAGGTGGCGCAGCTGGTGGACTGCACGTGCCTGGACATCTACGGGCGGCTGCCGGCGGCGGCGCTGACACCGGCGACGCCGTACGCGGCGTACCTGGTGTTCGGCACCGCGGCGGCGGCGGAGGGGCACCGCGGGCTGAGCTTCCCGGACCAGGAGACGACGGTGTCCGCGGCGGGGCGCGTCGTGGCGCGCCACGCCGTGTGCCTCCGCCCCGACGACGCCGAGGCGCGCAAGTTCAGGGGCGTCGGCCTCGCCGGCGCCGGCGTCCCGGTCAGGCGCCCCGCGCGGCGCGGCGACGGGTGGTCGGAGATGGAGCTCGGCCGGGTGGCCGCCGACGAGGTCGCCGGCGCCGGCGGCGAGGACGTGGTGGCGAGCTTCGAGGTGCTCGGGTGGTATCCCAAGCGCGGCCTCGTCGTCGAGTGCATGGAGTTTAGGCCCGTAGTCTGAAGTTGGTAAAATGAACGGTCGTGATCGCGCGGATTCGCGGGTTGTATGACGTATCGGACGGTCCAGATGTTGGGCACGTGGAGCCATCAGTTCATCTCGTTGATGAGCTGCTAAAGTATGGATTGCACTTGTTCTGATATATATAAACGAAATACAACCATTATTAGTTTATTACCTCCACGAGCCAGATTATCAGGGATAATTTAATTCTCTGAATTATTGTTTTTAGATAATAACCTAGCAAATTACCACCATGGGATATTGGGATGTATACTCATGTACAAAATGAAACCTGTAGCGTTTTGGTTTTCTCAGAACTATCAGGGATAATTTAATTCTCAACATTATTATTTTTAGATGATAGCCTAGCAGAAAACCTAGCATTGCTATTCTCAAATTTATATTACAGTTTGAAATCATTTGAACTTGTGCAGTTTATCAAGCGAGTCTGGAGTCTCAATACACGCATGCTTGATAAGTCCGAAGAACCGTGTAGTTACCATCGCATGTGTCAATCCTAATGACGGCAGCGTTGTTTGGTTTGATGGCTAACTTAACCCAACTCGTCGTGTCTTTTCTCTGTGAGTACAGTCTCACCAAACGCACACACGTGTGTCTGTTAAACCGACTAATTTTGCAGGTTGCAAACTTGCAATTTACTTCCTCCGTCTCATAAAAAACCAACTTAATATCATATATGTCTAGATTCATAGTACTATAATGTGTCACATCTGATCCTAAATTTGTTTTGGGGCATTTACAAATTTGCCACTGTTTTTTCAATATTGTAAGGATACCACTCGAATACAATTTTAGTGGTATTTTTACAGTAATAATTTAAAATAGTGATAAATTTGTAATTGTTCTATTCGTTTTTTACGGGACGGAGGAAGTATCTCATAAAAGTATCTCATAAGTTATGAGGGATCATATATAGACCGGCCGGATGCTGTCATTCTGATAGCTGCATCTCTGTTGGAATCTTGCTGACCGATGAAACGGAAGAAAATTCAAGAAAGTATTCATCAGTATCTATCTTATCTGTCCCAATCGCTTCTGATTTCGTGCGAGACTCGCAAGTGCCTTTGATTTGTTAGCATCATTGCTTCCGGTTGTCGCATTACACTCCGTCGACTAAATTGGCTCTGATTTTGTCCTGAAACTATTCAGTTTTCTGCAATCTCCATATTGTGACCGTGTTTATATTCAAAATTTTTTCTTTAAACTTCCAACTTTTCTATCACATCAAATGTTTTGATATATGTATGGAGTATTAAATATGGACGAAAAAAACCAATTGCACAGCTTGCATGTAAATCGTGAGACGAATCTTTTAAGCCTAATTACACCATGATTTGACAATATGGTGCTACATTAAACATTTGTTAATAATAGATTAATTAGACTTAATGGATTCGTCTCGCAGTTTATAGGCGGAATCTGTAATTTATTTTATTATTAGTCTGCGTTTAATACTTCAAATATGTGTCTATATACGGCATAAACTAAACACATGCTATCGCTCAGTTTGTCAAGATAAGGAAGAAAAAAAATATAGCACTTATAAATCAAAATAAGAAGTCAATAAACCCGTACGCGGCTGTCTACGTGGCGCGGTTTCACGTACACCGACGGCAACTTGAGTACTTGACTGACTCCAATTTTGTCACCGCGGCCGATCAGTCCAGAGTCAGTGCATTGACGGTGATTGCGTCTACCATTTCGGCGTAAATATACCTCGCTCATCGATGCGCTAACTTTGTTTTTAAAGTTGAATTTTGGACGTGACGATTACCCTTTCACGGAGAATTTTATAAACAAACCATATATTTTTTTCTAATGGTTCTATTATTAAGAAGATATTGAGTATGCCTTATTATATTTTTATACTGGACCTTAATAAGACGAATAGTCAGGTATTTTATTTAAAAATTAATAACGTCAAATATTGAAAACGGAGGGAGTATCAGCTAGCTGTCGTGTACGTACAAGTTTGACTTTTGAATTTTGAATTTTGAATTTTCTTTTCCTCTCCCGACAAAAATGGTAAACTTTCAGACCAAGCAGTTGAAAAGGCCGTCAATCAGTAGAAAAACCTAGTGCCGGGTAAACTCAACCAAATATGTGGCGGACACGGTCGCGGATCAAGTCTAACATCACAAACGACACCATATATAAAAAAGAAAAGGAAAAAAAAACATTATTCAACATATGGAGAACTCGCCCATCTATAAAGTAATGTAATTATTCCATCCGTCACAATTCACAAATTACAACAACACAATACTGAATTTGACACAAGTACTATGAATTTAAAGATGTAATCTCACTTTTAGATACGTAGCATTAGATTGTGTTAATTCTGATACCATGGGGCTATTTACTTTGATGCCAAAATAAACATTACCAAATTTTAACAATGCCAAAATTTTGGTAAGGTTGGCAATATAGCTATTTTGGACGTGTTCACTTTATTGCCAACATACATGCTACCCAATTTTGATTATTACTGTGCAGTTGTCAAATTTATGGTATATTTACCAAATTTTGGTAAGAAACCAAACATATGCACATTTTTAACAACTTTACTACAAAATGATATGGTTTGAAATAGCATTAAAGTGAACAGTCCCTATGTTAATAATTTAGGATGGATGAAGTATGAAATGTAGCGGATCCAGAAATAAATAGTAGTGGGGTCTGAGCAAACTAGATAGAGTGACAGTCCTCCCTCCCATCTACATATGGTAAAAAGTTTTAGTGGGTTCTTTGTGGGGTCTCTTATAGTTTTCACTGCCAGTAGTGGGGGCGATGGCAAAGAGAGAGAAAGAAGAATACGAAGAAGCTACCTAACTAGCCCAATTGATCTTCAGAGCCCACGTAGGTATTAGACTTTCCTAGCGAGCACAAAAATGGGCTCGGCCCACAGGCTGAACCAAACTTGCTTGGGCCGACGGTTAGGCGATTGACATGTGGGCCACGTCCTAACCTTGGGCCCACTTGTCAGAGAGGACAACTCATCTGTGTGGCACGGGGGGTCTCGATCTGAGCCACACAAACGAGATCGGACGGCGAGAAACGCGCGGGGGCTCGGCTCGGTGGGGCCTACTTATCAGCCGCCTCCTCTCGCGCCGCCTGCCGCAAAACCCTTCTCCCGCCGCCGCCATCGCCGCCGCCATGGACCCCTCGCAGCCGTCCGGGAGCTCCGCCGACGCCTCGGCGTCCTCCTCCTCCTCCTCCTCCTCCTCCGCCGTGGAGAATCTCGCCGCGGGGATGGCGGCCATGAGCCTCCAGGATCGGTTCGAGTTGCTGCGGGGGATCGGCGAGGAGTGCATCCAGGAGGACGAGCTCATGAACCTGCTGCAGAAGAAGCCCGTCCCCATCTGCTACGACGGTTTCGAGCCCTCCGGCCGCATGCACATTGCTCAGGTTCGGCGAATCCGCCGCGTCCTCCTCTCCTGCCTCTTGAATCGATCTACTTTCCCTAGGTTTCGAGATAACTGAGGTCGGGTTAAGTAGATTGTACAAGGACATAGAATTTCCTTGTTGGCTAGAACTCGATTAATCATGGAGGACATTAGAAACGTCACACTACTTTTTTTTTAATTTTTTTTGCTCCCAAAGTTTCTGAGTGCAATCTCCTGAAATTTGAAGGGATGTGCTCTTTTCTACCTGGTAGGGTACTAGCATTATTAGCAAATCATGCTAATATGTGATTTAAGTTATGTGTTGCGTCGATGTTAATTTAGTAATCGCATGGACATTCAAGATGGATCACCATGATTTTACCTAGCAGGGTAGTGGGGATTCGCACTAATATGCTCACTTCACTTTAAGCTGTCGATGTAAATAAATTTGGGTTGGATATAGATATAAGGTTTGTTTTATCCATTGACCTTTATGAACCACATGGGTGAAATGAAGTGTGGTGTCTATGTTAATCTGGTATGTGTTAAATGGTGGTGTGTGCTGGTTTGGATAGTAACCAGCCATGATGATGATAGTTTTCTCTAGAACTATGAAACATATAATCTAGTTCATTATTCCTATGTTTCGAGGTTTATTCTTGTTCTAGAAAATGAAAACAAACTAGCATAATCATTCCTTTGGTGTTACCATTACCTGATCTTTGGTTACAATATTCACTAGTATATCTTTTTTTATTGTGTGCTTCCTCTTCTGTCATGACTCGTTGCGGGCAGTGACGCGTGAAGTTTACACGTGCAAAAGTTTTGGACTGTAGGATTTGAACAGATGAATTGGTCTTGATCGATCTTTCTGTCTATTGTCAGGGCATTGTGAAGACAATCAATGTTAACAAGATGGTCAGAGCTGGATGCAAAGTGAAAATTTGGATAGCAGACTGGTTTGCTCAGCTAAACAACAAGATGGGGGGTGATATAAAAAAAATACAGACTGTGGGACGCTACATGATTGAGATTTGGAGAGCGGCTGGTATGAATCTTGATGGTGTGGAATTCTTGTGGTCCTCAGAGGAAATCAATAAGCGTGCAAATGAATATTGGCCACTTGTAATGGACATTGCTCGTAAAAATAATGTCAAAAGAATAATGAGGTAACCATCTTTTGTTTGCTTATATACATCTATGGCTTCTTCGTTCCCAAAGCTTGAAAGTGTTATTGCCATTCCTAACATGCAAGTGAGTATATTTTTCTTTGGTTTGCAGATGTTGTCAGATTATGGGTCGGAATGATTCGGATGAGTTGACTGCTGCCCAGATCTTCTATCCTTGCATGCAGTGTGCTGATATATTTTTCTTAAAGGTTAGTACATTTACACTATTGCACAAGTGCTTTGTGAAAAGGAAGTATACTGAGTTACAATGTAAAGACAGCTGTGTGCATGAACCTGTGGCATGAGTTTGCTCTAATTATCCCTTTCCCTTTGTAGGCAGACATTTGCCAGTTGGGCATGGACCAAAGGAAGGTCAATATGCTAGCCAGGGAGTACTGTGATGACATCAAAAGGAGAAACAAACCAATTATTCTGTCACATCGTATCCTTATCTGCCCTTCCAAGTTGGTTAAACCTTTATATGCAGTAAATAAACATGGGACACTGTTCAAGCTGAGTCATAATTGGGGGTTCTTAACCAGTTTTTAGAACACTGTATTACTTCCTTAACCTGAATTACAGATATGCTCCCTGGTTTTAAGGAGGGCCAAGAAAAGATGTCAAAGAGTGATCCATCCTCAGCCATTTTTATGGAAGATGACGAGGTTTTCCCCATTACTACCAGTTATCCATCTTTATATACTTCTGAACCCAATATTGCAATATAAAATAATTGCTTTTGTCATGCACTATGCCTCTCATAACTATGCTCATGCACCAACAGTTATTGAAGAGTGGCATGACCTTCTAGTTTGCACTGGTGAATAGAGATAGTGGAATATGTTTTAAGGATATTTGCCTAGGATGTTTAGGATTTGGTCATCATCTACCATAAAAGATAAAGGAATGTTTAAGCGCTATACTTTCATGTTTTACTTGGCGATTTTAATTTTGTTATAGTTCCTAGTTTTGAGTTGACAGATATATTATTTTGAATGGCTACTGTGTAGCCTTTTATGCTGATTTGCAGTTTATTCATTTTGCATAATCCAGTGGATAAATGGAATCATTTATGTTTGTACCATTTGCTTGGAGCATTGTCTTCTATAGTGACTTCTGCTTTGTCCCTATTGTGCCTGGCTACCTATTTTCTGTTAAGTTGGCTTCTCGCAGCTCATCATTGCTCTACCTGGGTTTCTAAGTTTATTTGCTTCATAACTTCATTGCAGGCTCAGGTAAATTTGAAGATAAAACAAGCATTTTGCCCTCCCAACATTGTTGATGGCAATCCATGCTTGGAGTACATCAAGTACATTGTTTTCCCTTGGTTTGAAACGTTTGAGGTGGTTCGGAAGGAAGAAAATGGCGGTAACAAGTAATATTTTATTCTGAGCTACCAAACTTTGAATTATCCTATTTACTATCAATCATGTTAAAGGATAATCATACGATAATAACTGTACCACCAGTTTATCTGCAAACTGAGCACAACCATTTATGTTTTCAGTTGTAACAACTGTTTGCCATTTGCTGTTAAACAGGACATTTGCCAACATGAATGAACTCATCGCTGATTATGAGAGTGGTGCTTTGCATCCTGCTGATGTTAAACCAGCTCTTGCAAAAGCGATAAACCAAATATTGCAGGTATGAATCCTGGCAAAACGAATTGATGGATTCTTTTAATTGTTGCGGGATCAATCTTGCATCAGTACATTTTTGTATTGACCTGTTTTTTCATTGGATACGATGTAGTATGATCAATAGTCCATTGCTCTTAGATTATCGTCTTAATAATGTTATCCTTTCCCATTTTCAGCCTATCCGTGACCACTTCAAAAACAACAGTGAAGCAAAAGTTCTGCTCAACACTGTTAAGGTATATTTTTTTTTGAGCAATGCTACACGTACTAAATTTTTCTTACTAAACTTTTACTAACAATCATCTCAACCGTTTGATTTAAGTAGATGCAAGTTACAAAAATTCTAGGTGCACTCATAGCATGACACATCAGTGTTAGTAAGAATTTAGTAAGAAAAAGTTAGTACGTATAGCCTTTTCCTTTTTTTTTATCCATCTGTTAACTGTACGGTTACCTTTCTATGTTCTTTCTACGTTCTATCTTCGAACTGTAACTGCAACTCTGCAAGATAGTAACCACTTTGATGCCTTTTAACTGCACCTGTGCACTATCTCAGATTGAGTTTTGTAGAAGTGATTTATGATCCGGTTCATTGTCAATAGCTTGAATCATGCCTTTTTCTTGATATATCTGCTTGATTGGGATTTTTTGTCGGTGGCATTTGAGACCTGACTCAGCCGGCATAACCATGCAAAACCTCATTTACCAGGAAATAATGGAAAAAAATAATTGTTTACTTTAATTTGCAGTTTTATTTTAGGGCTCTTAATAATCTGGCTGAACTTTGAGTTACTCTATTGACAGCGATTAGTGCCAATACGGGTCAATTACTAGGAAGTTAATTTGAACTTTTCTGATTTGCAGAATTACAAAGTAAAAACGGAGGATACTAGTTCAAGCCCTCAAGCATCTTAAGAGTTCATGATGGTCTACATGGATATCTTTTAACTTTGTTTACATTATGCAGTTGTGTGATACACATTCTCTTTTGGTTAGTGTTATGTACTTTAAATGTTCATGATCACCTTATACCGTTATAGTATGAGAAAAAAGGCAAAAGTTTTGAGTGCAGACAGTGGAAATGCCTTGTTGATACCAAACATTTGTTCTGCTCTGCATCTGCACAACCACTAAGGTCTTACCTTTGTGGAAAGAAATATTAACTGGTGAAGCCCTGTTTGGAATCATTTTCATTTTCTCAACTCCTGTGGCCCTGTGGGAGTAGGAATATGGCCCTGTTTAGTTCCAACGCATAAACTTTTCACCTTCTTACATCGAATATTTGGACACATGCATGGAGTACTAAATATAAAAAAAACTAATTACACAGATTGCGTGTAAATTGTGAGACGAATCTTTTAAGCCTAATTGCCTCCATGTTTTGATAATGTGGTGCTACAATTAACATTTGCTAATGATGGATTAATTAGGCTTAATAAATTCGTCTCGCAGTTTACAGGCGGAATCTGTAATCATTTGCTAATGATGGATTAATTAGGCTTAATAAATTCGTCTCGCAGTTTACAGGCGGAATCTGTAATTTGTTTTGTTATTAGTATACGTTTAATACTTCAAATGTGTGTCCGTATATCCGATGTGACATGTTAAAACTTTTCACCCCTGGAACTTTGTTGCGAGCTTCACTTTTGAGGGATTATCTTTTCTCAGACTTTCGTGTTTCTCCTATGATGTATCTAAGTTTATGCGCTTTTCCTATCTTTTGTGATCATTTGCGTTACACTTGTAATTCAGTCAAAATCATAAAATCATATGAGTTTTTTATCCTTGTGTTTTACAAGTCGTATGTTTCAGGGAGAAATGGGTCTTTGGATATGTTTATGATTATGACCATGTTGAAAAGGTTTGTCAATCGTGTGTGCTTGTAGTTGACTCATGATAAGAAAGGATTCATCTACCCCGCCCCTACAAGCTTGGCCTGAAATGTCACTGTACAAACGTGTACGCAAGCCAGCAAAAGCATGAAGTAAACGAATCCGATATCCAAAATACAAACGACAGTGATGGGTGGCAGGTACCAACTACCAAAAATTCCTTTCTACAGTACGCTACTACGCTAAAACAGAGGCTTTACATGAAAATAGATAATTAAGGATGTAATTAGTGAGGTTAGCGATGTGTTTTGCCACACCTTCAGTTTAGTGTAAGATTTGTTAGGAAGACAAATAATTGAAACCAAGGGAAGTTTAGTGTAAGATTTGTTAGGAAGACAAATAATTGAAACCAAGGGAGTATATAGTTTGGCGTAGTTTGTCAGCAGCTATAACATGCGTATGAGCAAGAACTAATTACATGATCTAGGAAATTAATTGGTGGCACCATAGTGCCATCATTGTTAAATCGTGGTTAAGTTTAAAATGAAATGGCACGAAAATACAAACCTCAGTCGCGTGGTTGGCAACATGTATGCAAAATTGCAAATGGAATATCGCGGAGAGATGACGTTGGTCATCATCTACGAGGTTTATGGTAAAATGATGTGATCCATTAGATCAAGTCATCAAGATAAGAAAACAAACCACATTAATACGAGGTAGTACTATAACAAAAGCCCTTCATTCTTAAGGAAATTCTTGTACTACTAGAAAAATAAATACGGTGGCGTTTTCAATAAAGTGCTTTACATACCATGCCACCTTTTTTTTTTGCATAAAGGTGCCAAATAAGACTTCATTTATTTGGCAAAGACATTCAAGAAGTCATTCAAGGTTCCAAAACGTGCTAGGTGGTATTTGGATACATCATGTTACATCGGATGTTTAGACGTTAATTCGGAGTATTAAACATTGATTAATTATAAAACAAATTGCATAAATGAGAGCTAATTCGCGAGACAAATTTTTTAAGTCTAATTAATCCATAATTAGCACATGTCTACTGTAGCATCACATGGGCTAATCATGAATTAATTAGGTTCAGTAGATTCATCTCGCGAATTAGTCTAAGGTTATGGAATGGTTTTTATCATTAGTCTATGTTTAATATTTCTAATTAGTGTCAAACATCCGATGTGGCATCCAAACAGGGTGTAAATAGGAGCACCAGCTTGATATAAAACACTGTGTTTTTAAGGGCATCCAGCAAAAATGGTGATGTCGACATGTTTAAAGTGGGGAATGTGCATTTTAATATTTATACTCGAATGATATCTATTATCAGCAATGTGAACCAACTTCAGTTTAATGCATCATCTAAAAAAACTACTACCTCCTTTGGTTAGTTTTGAGCTAACCAACCTCAAACATAAAAGGATAGATGGAGTATAAGTTAATATAACTTTTTAGCAACTATGGACATATATATTGTGGTAAGTTGGCGATAAGAAAATATTACCATTTTCATCGTAATAGTTGTTATTTGCATTCAGAAGCATTTGGAGCCTTGACATAAAAAATGCAAACATGTTGACATTTATACATGAAATATGACTAAGATTATCTGTAAAATAACCTGATTATTAAATAGAATATTATGGTACTATATGAAAATAAAATAAATCTAAAGTAATGCTGCCAAAAAGGAAAAATGGAGGAAAAATAGGCATCCTGCTAGAAAATTATTTGACAGGTAAACAAAAATATACAACTCGCAAGTCTCGCCAAAATCAACGGTTCGTCCACAGTTGTAAAGATACATAGGACAACTTCATAAAATAAATGTGCTATGAAACAGGTGATGGAAGGATATGCCACTACAATGAATGAAAATGATGAACATATTTTTAGATAATGGAAATGGATTACATCTCCGGCTTCTGTCATAAAACACACAGCTATAAGTTTAATAGTAATAAAAAGGTAAGATAAAAGTAAATCAAAATGAGAAATAAGGTGATGGGACAAATCCCCAACTCCCCTTTATTATTGACTAGCGTTAAACCACATAAAATATTTTAGCTAGCAATTCTTATGGAACTACGCCACCCATAGTGGAATAAGAGACCCTTGGCTACCGATTCCAAGAGTGTAGCACCATTGCGCATAGTATCCTGCTCCTCCTGTGGTAGCATTGTAGACCAAAAGTGGAGCCAGTAGGAAGACATGAAGATAACCTGCATAGGGTTAGATAATTGTTTACCATTAAAAACTTTATCATTGCGACAACGCCAATTTAACCAACATACAACACTAGCTCCAATTAGAATCATCTTCTTAATGGACCTAGATACCCCTCTAAGCCAATTACTGAAAATATTTTTGGCGTTACGGGGTGGGGGGATATTAAAGGCAAAAAACACACATCTCCAAACAAATTGAGCGACATGACACTCAAAGAAAAGATGTTGGATTGTCTCTTGTGCATAGCAGAAAGAACAATGTTTGTCTCCCCCCCATTTTCTTTTAGCCAGGTTATCTTTCGTTAGAATTACTTTCTTGTGAAGAAACCACATAAAGACCTTGATCTTTAGTGGAATTTCCAAGTCCCACAGAATTCTCTTTTTGATCCGAACATTACAGTTCATGATCGCGGCATACATATATTTGACGGAAAATTGACCATTCTTATGGAGCGACCATACAAAGTCGTCCTTTTCATTTGACAGAGTTATATTAGCTAGCCTGAGGATCAAATCGTTCCACTCGATTAGCTTTTGGCCAACAATAGCTCTTCTAAAAGAGATATTTAGCGGTGTTGTGCTCATGACCTCTGCCATAGTAGACTGCTTCTTTCGAGCCACATTATATAATATAGGGTATTGATCTTTGAAAGCACGCGATCCCAACCACGTGTCTTCCCAAAATCTTATGTTTGTCCCATTGCCACATCTAAAAGAACCAAACCTAAGAAATTGGTCTTTGACTTTCATTAAACCGGCCCAGAACTGAGAAATACCTATCTTGCTGGACATACCAGAAAGAGGTTTACCCTTTAAGTATTTATTTTGCAAAAGGTCTTGCCATAGGTCTTCACCATTAAACAACTGGAAAAGCCATTTGCTTAATAAGCAGCTATTTTTTATATCAAGGTTATGGACACCTAGTCCACCTTGATCTTTTAGTCGACATATGTTTTCTCACTTAGTTAGTCTATATTTTCTTTTTCGGTCATCATTACTCAAAAAAAAACGTGACCTAAAGTAATCCAGTCTTTGAAGCACACCTCGTGGAATTTCGAAGAAGGATAACATAAACAACGGAAGGCTTGAAAGAACTGAGTTTAGAAGGGCCAATCTCCCACCATATGACATGTTTTTGCCTTTCCATGTGCTGAGTTTCCTCTCAAATCTATCTTCAACTCCTTTCCAATCAACATTCCGGAGTTTCCGATAATGAATAGGAATACCAAGATATCTAAACGGGAAAGATCCATAATTACAACCAAATAGTTGTCTATATTGATCCTCCACTTCCTTGGCTTTCCCAAAGCAAAAAAATCTCACTTTTATGAAAGTTTATTTTCAGCCTTGAGAGCTATTCGAACACACATAGGATGGCTTTCATATTTTTGGCCTGTTCAAGGTCATGATCTAAAAAAATTACTGTATCATCAGCATATTGTAGAATGGACAAACCATCGTCCACTAAATGTGGAATGACTCCTCTAATTTGACCATCGCCTTTAGCTCTCTCAATGAGAACCGCTAACATATCAACCACAATATTGAAAAGTATAGGCGACATTGGATCCCCTTGTCGCAGGCCTTTGTGCGTTTGAAAATTATTACCCAAGTCATCATTGACTTTTATACGGACACTTCCTCCTTCAACCATTTTAGAAATCCAATGACACCACTGCTGAGAAAAAAAATGATGAACATATATTTAGATATTCATTGCTCAGTAAGTTTGAAGCAGTGTTGCTAAAAGGAATAATGGGCATCCTATTATAATTTTATACGCAAAATAACCTGGCTGTTAATCACTAACATAATAATGGTAGTGATGTGAAAACTAGAACATCATTTTTAGTACTTCAACTTGCGATTTTGGTGAAATCAACTGTCTTTCTACAGACGTAAAGATCTTAAGCACATCTTTCGTATAATTAATATACTACGGAATATGTGATATGAGGATGCCACTACAATGAATAACAATGATTAACAAAGATGTAGACATTCATTGATCAATAAATTTGAAGTAGTGTTGTTACTATAGATTTATATGCAAAATAATTTGGCTATCAAATACTAATATTATGGTACTGATATGAACAATAGAACATGCCAATTTTTCTTAGCTGATAGGAAAAAAATCGCTGGTCTATCTACAAATGTAAAGATGTCGAGTACAACTTTGTAAAATGAATATACTAAGAAGCATGTTATGCCAGGATGACACTATAATGAATAACAATGACCAAGAAAGATTTACATATTCATTGTTCAACAAATTTGAAACAGTGTTGATAAAAAAAATGGAAGAAAAATATGCATCCTATTATAAAATCATACACAAAATAATATTGTTAAATACTAGCATTATGTGGTAATGATATGAAATTAAAAATAGAATACGACAACATTTTCTTAGCTAGTACTCCCTCCGGGCTGATAATACTTGTCGTTTTGGACAAGGGTGAGGTCAAACTTTAGAATCTTTGATTATGAATCATTTTTAAAATATTTGTCTTTCAAATATAATGATTACATGTATAGATTAGTCTTGAAAAGTACTTTAATAAGATCATATATCTGTTAACACTTTTATACATATTATAATGAAAAATAATGGTCAAAGTTGTTTTTTGGAGACCGTGTCCTTGTCCAAGACGATAAGTATTATTAATCCGGAGGGAGTAGTTCATCAACCCGCAATCTCGATAAAATCAACAGCCTGTTTACACCGTAAAGATTTTGAGCATAACTTCGTAAAATAAATGTACTACAAAACACATAAAGCGAGGTTGCCACTACAATGAATAACAGTAATCGAGAAAGATTTAGATATTAATTGTTCAATAAATTTCGAAGCAGTGTTGGTAAGAGGAACAATAGAGAGAAGAAAAAGTCTATACCTAGTAAAATTTTCTTACAAAATGCTTACAAACTTTGATGTGGTAAGTTGTAACTAAATCTAGAATTCTTGTAACTTTCATCTAGTTAAATCAAACGGTCGAGAAATTTGTTAGTGAGAGTTTTGTAAGAAAATTTTAGTACATACTCCCTCCGTGCCCAAAAAAATCAAGTCCTAACATCCCAAGGTAGAATTTATGGAGGGTGAGAATGACTAAAATGCCTTTAATCATTAAAAAAAATAATAAGAGTGATAGATAGGTAAAGAGTATTGTAGGAATAAAACTTCTCATTTTACGTGCTAATGGTAGGTAGGATGGTAGGAGTTGATTTTTTTTTATAAAATTCAACTCTAGAATTTGATTTTTTTTAAACAAAGGAGTATAGCAATACTCAGAAAAAAAAAGCAGCAGCATATGATGGTAGAAAAAAAAATGGTGTGATGACAGATAAATAGGAGGGGTGTCCAATGGTTGGTCCCCTCCGACACCCCGCCTTCTCCCCAATAAAAACGCCACCGCCCAACCCCGTCGGAGCGGCGGCCGTCGGGATATGCCTCAAGATTCGCGCCCCGCCGCGATGCGCCTCTTCGGCGTCACCATCTCGCCGCCGCCGCCGCCGCCGGAGCCGGAGCCGGAGCCGGATCCGTCCGACCCCCGGGATCCGAGCCCGCGGCCGGCGAGGGAGGACGCGATGCGCAAGTGCAAGAGCATGGGCAACCTCGCCGCCGCCGCCGCCGCCTCCTCCGCCGCAGCCGGCGGCGGCGGCGCCGGGGACGCCGGGGGATCGGGCGACGGGTACCTCTCCGACGGTGGGCTGCTGCTGTCCTCCGGCAAGCGGCGGCGCGCGCAGGAGAGGAAGAAAGGTGTGCCTCTTTTTTTTCTTTTTTTTTTAATCTCCATTTCGTTTAGCTTAAATTTTTTCTCCTTTGGTTAATAGAAATGTAGAAATAAGGAAAGATCTGGTGATGAATGGTCTCTTTGCTCGCTACAAAAAAAAATGCTTGGATTGGAGAGGACAAAGCCATGGCCTTTTTAGCTATTTTTTTTAGTTTTACCTGAGTTGTCTGGACGCAGAAATGTTGTTACTTTAATATGGAGGGTTATTAAAGATTGCATTCGTCTGTAGCAGAATCCAATGATTTAGGTAATGAGATGATTAGGTTTCTGATGCCACGAATGCGTTGCACATCGAATGAGGAAAGTCTAATATCCTTTTGTTTGTGCTTGTGCTGTAGCTTAGCTTGTATGTAAATGTTTGCATTCATTTCACTGTTATTTGCACATTAGTTCATTGGATATGTAATGCTTGAACCTTCTTTGCTATGTGCAAGAGTTTTACAAGCTATTAGTTTAGGTCGATTGAGGTTGTAGAGTTGTGGTACAAATGTACGATAGATGCGTTTGTTCGTTGAATGTATCAGGCTTTCTTGCTTTGTTTTGTGCTAGTGCTGGCATATAGCCTACAAGTGCTTTTCTTTGCATGTTAGTTGATTGAAGATCCTATTTTTGCTACAGTTGTACTTATAGATTGGTAAATAGTATCCACTAGTCAGTTGTTTGAACTTTGAATAGTGATTCTTTTGGACTTGATCCATGATGCATGCTGGTGGGTTTGTTTTCTTCCATATCAGATTTTGCGTTGGCAGTATAGTCTGATGGGTGACTGGGAAATATATAACTGACCGGATAATCCCTGGTTGGAATTTGTGTTTGTATTGGTGTTGCCTGGTTTACATTAATTTACTCATAAGGATCAGGTGAGTTTACTCTTTAGTCATGCAAGGAGGAGCTTGATTAAGACAGTTATCACTTATTACACTGTGTTTGATATACATCAGGGTGCATTAAGGCAGTTGAAGGCCTCCTAGTATTTGCATTGTCACATCCCTAACGAAGGACAAGCTGTTGATATGTTGGACTTTGTTCTGAATATTGTAAAAGTATAGGATGGATTCTATTCATATTGTGCTTGGAAAAGACAAGCTCTTTGTCTTTTTTAGGGAAAGCAAATGATGTGTAATGCGTTCCTGCTGAAGTGTAAGTGCCTTTCAGTGCCTGGTGGCTGGTTGGTTCATATACAGCTAGCCAGACAAATTAATCAAATTTCCATGGATGCTGTTCCATTTGTCTTCATGCACATAACTGTTCTGTTAGTTGGATCCTGTGTTCTTATATCGCACACACAAGCAGCCCTATTTCGTTCCATCCTGAGTAATGCTGCTTTCTAACTTTATCATAATGCATCCTAGGTTTAGGTTACAGGAATTCTTTTAGGACTTTATTTTTCTCATAATTGCACCCGCTGGTGAAAATTATTGACTTCCTGCAGTTGTTACATTTGATCAATTATATTAATCTGTTAGTCTGATTCATCATAGATGTTTGTTTTGGAGTAATGATGCTATATGCATTCCAATGGCTTCTGGCTTCCACTAAATATGGTGCCTAATGTTTGTTAAAATGGGGAAAAAAATAGCCTACCCGTTCTTTGTTTATGATATGTGAACATGATTTTTATTTTAGTTGGTTATCATTTTAGAGTATTGCTCCATGCTTCAGAGTTTTTTTTTGGGTTGGGGGGGGGGGGAGTTGGGCCTTTGCTCAGTAAACTTAAACAAATGACAAAGTAACTCATGCGACCTATATTAACTGTATAAAAATTTTATTAAGTCAAAGGTAACTTCTATGTAGATGCTACAGTTTGTCAAAAAATGGTCTAGAGTTGTTTGACCACCTTTTGTATTCTAATAAAAGTTACATAGTAGATGATTTCAGATATAGTTTAAACAAACTTGCAATGATGCTTTGGAAGTGTTGGTTGTTCTAAGTAGTTAGGTAGTACTAGTCAGTGCCTTGTCGATTACCCAGGCAGTCACTGCATAGGGGGCTATAAAGTGATCAGGCACTAGGCTGGACACACCCTAGCCTATATACACTTAGACATATCCCTGCACTGAAACCGGTTTAATTGTAGAACTGTGGAAGTACTTAAAGACCTGGATGATGAGAAATTGCTCTCTGCAAGTACTACTTTACATATTGATACATTTGGATTTGGTAAGGCTATAAGCACACGGAGAGGATGTCCCAGTTCCCACTATGGCTTGGTTACTGAAATTTATTTGTAGAAGCATTGATATCTCCCTTACTGCATTGGTTTCTCTTGATATTTTCACTGGCTATTATGCTAACTTCCACCTTATAAGTTTTTTTTTTTGGAAAAAGTCCACATTTGATCCTTCATTCCTCAACTACAAAACCATTTATTGTTGGTTCTTCAATTTTCAAAACTGTGCAGATATCATCCCTGGGCCCAAATTTTCCATGAAATCCCTCTCATCTTATATTTAAAGCATGTCAACCTGATAATGTCTTACACTTCTTTTTGGACAATACTAGCATTACTTTCTAAAGCATTTGCAAAGCTACCTCAAGAAAGTTTTTATGATAGTAAGATGAAAAGAAATAGGATGTGCATCCATTTTCTTGCTACAGTTATTAAGCGCATATCACCTTTCTGTATCTATTGCAATTCAGTCGGTGAGTTAATAGATTTATTTCCACTGTGCAGCTGTCCCTTGGACTGAAGAAGAGCACCGAACATTTCTTGCTGGTCTTGAAAAGCTAGGAAAGGGGGACTGGAGGGGTATATCTAAGAACTTTGTTACTACCAGGACTCCAACTCAAGTGGCTAGTCATGCTCAGAAATATTTTCTTAGACAAACTAATCCAAACAAGAAGAAGCGCAGATCAAGCCTTTTTGATATGATGGCAACTGATATGGTATTGTACCTTCTGCTAACATACAGTACTCTGCATTGGCATCTGAACATTATTATGTTTCTAATCAATCCTTGGTACACCTGTGAACTGCAGTCACCAGCACCAAACTGCCCTGTCTTGCCACCATCAATGGGAAAATTACATGATATGGTAGCTATGACTAAACAACTCCAGAACAGCAGTTTGGTAAGTTCATTTGATATCCATTTTAACGTGCTAGTTTCAGTGCTGAGATATATGGCAACCTATTTTCAGGAAGGAGTCTCATCTTCAAGCACAGTTAATCTAGCACCACAAGTTGCAAGAGATCTTCCTCCCCCAATTCCATCTTTTAAAGCAACAAATGTAGATTCAAGTCTCAGCAAAATGAACCACATGGTAATGCTACTGGTTTTCATTTTTGACATATTAGATATCAGATATCTCATACTTTAAGAGGTGGTGATTTCTCATAAAGAGTTTGGATGTTTTTCATTTGAACCATTTTCTATTGGTCTAGGCATTGCTCCGCATTGATGATCGCCAACTTTTAAATACCATATTGCAACTATAATGTGGGCATATTTACCAACCAAAAGCCACACACATCAGGGAAATGAAAATAGGCACAGCTATTTCATAGCTGGTAAAATGATGAGTTGTGGGAAATTGAAATTGCATGGGCATATTTGCTTTCAGTGCTTCCAATCTCCTTCCTATGAAGGACCATCCAGATCATCAAAGATAGTTCAAAGACTGATAATATTGGGTTCAAAATTGTTAATCAACATACTGAATTTCAGTCCAAACTGGAATTTGTCATGAGGGAAAAAATATTCTTTTGAAAAATAATACTCGGTGAAGGTAAATAAAGAAGTAAAAGCGATTGTTGAGTGAACTTCTCTGTTCTGCTATGTGTAGTAAAACCTGCAATTTTATGGGCACTAGATCACTCTGATCCTTACCTTCTTAATTTTGTTTTTGTAGAATCTTTTGCGATAATTTGGATGGTTCCTTATCAGAGTGTCGGAGCATCTAATAGGTAGGCTGCACTGGATAAACACACCTTTCTGCACTTTTAATGTAAACCCAACAAGTAACAACTGCATATCCAAAATTATGTTCTTAAACTGTTTCTATGCACTATTGGTACTGTTCCAAAAACGACGGTACAATTGTTTCCATAATAGTGGTCCCAAGCACCAACACAAATATTCTGTGGATTTGGGAGTTGGTACTTGGTAGTTACTATTCATGTTGAAGCATATGTGCAAAAATGAAAATTATGAAAAGACACCGTAACTTGTAATGTCAAAGTTATTTGGTGCCCTGAGTTCCAGCAATATTAGGGAATTAGTTTTGATCAGAACAACTATCTTGTTGGTAACCGCCTGAGAACATCATGTTATATTAGATTATTAGTTGATGTACTTTACTTGGTAGTTGCCTAGTTGGTAGTGGTACTGTATTGATTACAAGTACTGTTGTTTAGGGTGCCAACGATCAGTATGAGAGCCTGAGCATTTGTTCCTTGAACTCATTATGAAACACACAGATTTGTTCATTTTCTACATTTTAGGAGCTACATTTGTAATACAATGAGCCATTACTATCTATACTTATGGATTAATTAACCTTCATTCCTTTCCAGGACGGTTTCTTGAGGGCGCCCATGCTGTTCAGACCAATTCCAAGAATCGCTGAAGGGGCATCTTCATCGACTCCTGCAACTGCAAGCATAGCTGATCTGGAATTTCAAGCTAACCTGACTGCATGTTCTAATGCATTATTCGCGAGTCCGAGAAGAAAGCCAAAGAAGGCAGATCCTCCAGCAGAGAAGGATCTGGATCTGACAGTTGCCCCACCCTCCCAACAAACCAGGGCCAGTATTTCTTCCCAGAACGCAGTAGGCGTAATTCAAGTCGTATAGACTGATAATTTTTTTTGGGGAGTTTTAACTATGTTGTTGAATGTTTACAAAAATAAACATTAACATTATATTAGCGATACACCAATAAAAGAAGGAATTAAAGATTATGTGCTCCGAATCGTTGTATGCTCCCTTCATTTCATTTCTGCCTCCTTTTTTCTGGCCACACAATCAAGTTCATGTGGAGCCTATATATTTTTGCAGCTTTCATGTCCCTTCTATATATGTTTTAGGCAATGGCATGTGCCTAGCTGATCATTCATGTGTTGGTGTATACCGGCCTGAATTGAGTGCAGTTCTGGTGCATGTACATTTGATTCTCTTCATTTGGTCCAGGCAGAGGGTAGAGCATATTATCAATGGAGAAAGTGACTGAAAAAAGGTGGTGATAAAACAGAATGTTGTGGGTGGTGTAGCATAATTGACTCTGCACCTGATCAGTGATCATCCCCTCAATTCCATGGTTTGGTAAGCACTGGTACTTCCAGCCAGTACTTGGTACCATGGCAGGAGAACAGCTTGCCATCTGATTGGTGTACAACCTTTTGTGAATGATGATAGGTGTAACTGGATTTGTATACTGGAGGCAAAATGCTGTGTCCAACAGTCCAAGTAAAAAGATTAAGCACTTGTCTTGATCTACAATTCCTTTGGACAATCTTGGATCATCCTTTGGATGAAAAAGCCGGTTGGATGGATAATTTTACCAGTCTAAAAGAGATCGGGAGTGCTCTCAGTACGATATAATTGGCTAAGTCTAATAAAGTTTTCATTATATCTAAAAAGAAGCAATTTCAACTACTCCCTCCGTCCCGTAATATAGCAAACTAGAACCGACGAGACATTTCACAGGATGTCCAGATTCATTGTCCTATGAAATGTCTCGTTCGGTCCTATATTGCTATATTATGGGACGGATTGAGTATTGAATATTGCATCCTAAAGCCTTTTTTTCTTTCTTTCTTTGGAGTTGAATTCCAAATGTTTGGGAATCCATCATAAGCACCCTTTAAACTGTGCAGTTTATTTTCCTTCTGCAAATTTAGGAAGTTATTTTGAAAATCATTTGGATGGTCCATTGCAAAACAAGAAATCCTATATCCTCTTTTGGAATGCATGAATTTTCTCCGAATAATACGGGGATTGAACTATCATATTAAAATTCTATAAATTCCTGTATTTGAAGGAGACCCAAAAGCTCATGCAATCTCTCATTGTCGCAGTCGAATCACCCCCTTTCCACCTCCATAGACCGACTACTCATCCGAAAACAAACACAAAAAGGAAAAATAAAGAAAAAGGGGAAAATTTTTTCAAAGAGTGAGTGCCATTGACTCTACTCTTCTCCATCCATGGTCTTATCATCAAACTGTCGGTTCTCAAACCTCAAATATTATTTTTTCTTGAAAACAAAAAAAACCCTAGTACAGTTCATTGTCGGCTTGCATTGCCATGGCCACTACATTTCAAAGCCTAACAAACTCTTGATGTTGGAAGGAAGAGAGAAAGAAGCTAAGAAAAGCAAGTGATATTTATAATACAGCCATGCATGTCACATATATATGAACTCAACTTTGCTAGCAGCTGATAATATTCCCCATATCCAATTCATGCCTGCATTCTGAAGGAATCCTCTACAAAAATCATGACAACACTAGCCACTAGATTAGAAAAGACAAGAGCTCCAAGGTGAAAAAAGAGGAATCAAATTAATGAAAAACAAAATCAATTAATTACTCTCTGCACAAACACACACTTTCCATGGAAGCAAGCATTGAACGAAATTAATTAAATTAAGTTGAATCAAATTAAAGATAGATACAAAGATATGCATACTTTAAAATCGTCGGTTCATAGCGACCCGGGCGAGATGGATGGATCGATCGAGCTGCATGTGACACTCGAACTAATCCTTTGCTAAAGTCCAACCCCACCTAATTAATCCATCACATACAAGCTAGACTGCAAGTTAAGTTAATTTCATGATAACAATGTTTATAGACGATTAATTAATTAATTAGAGAGCATGAAGGCGTAACGTACATTTGCTTGCATCATGTATACATGGAGTCAAACTTGCATGCAAGTTATTGTCATCAATTAGTGGTTAATTTATTGGTGCAGGGTGTCACTTGGTTAATTTCGTCCTTATTAATTACGGATAGTACGTGCTGTGGTGTTTCATGCTGTCACGTGTAACAACATTGTCGTTTGGTTTCTGAGTCATAAATATTACAGCTTAAATTATGGTAAGTACTCCCTCTGTTCTCAATTAATTATCATATTACAGGATCAAATAAAGCCAATAAATATCATATACTACCTCTATTTCACAATAATTGTAATTCTAGATTGTTTAGCATATAGTATATATTAAGGTTTGAGAAGAAAGACTAAATGATATATAGGTAAGAGTGAGATGGTGATTGAGGGTAGAATAGGAAGATATTTGAATCATAAGTGATTAATGTGACAACTATAATACTCTATTGTGATAACTATTTTGGAATAAATTTGAATCCTGGAAATATAATATTATGGGACGAATGGAGTTCTCTGTGTTTACTCTGGTGATAAACTCAATACATGCACCATTCTTACTATTTTCTAGCAATAACAAATCAAAATATTGCATATTGATTGTAAAGAGTCATGTGTATGGATGTATCCATTAATGTCCATCTACTTTCATGCATAACGAATATACTTAGAAAGTATAGTAATATAATGATCGTTTGGGAGTAACTCAAACAATAATAAGATGATCAATTGAAAATAAAGGGAGTGGTTAGTAAGGTTAAGCTATCTTTACGATTAAACAAGAAAATTAAGCAAAAGAGAGCATACTAATAAAAAACATAAAATTAATCAGGTTATATGCTTCTGATCAATGATCTGTTTGACGATATACTCCATATATATAATATGGATAACATTAATTCTGGTGATACTATATTATCTGTGACAATCTAATAAATTGAGGTTAATTGATACCGAAAATCTGATGACACAAGATACTGATAGCTATGCTGAATATTTAGTGAATACATATGTTCTTGTGCCAATCAGCTATAATTAATCTTAATTTCCCTGCCTGTTCTTGATACTGAAAGGTCGATTAATATGCACACAAAATATAATCAATCACTTAAATTTGCATGTATCTTTCGATCGTGTGCCTTTTGAACAAAAGGGCAGACGACGTCGTTCATGCAAACAGAGAATCAGCTGGTATGTAGACACATATATAGGACCACTTCAGGCATATATTTTATCCTAAAAATGCATTTCTTTTGATGCAGTTTTGTACATATTTTATTGAAAAGTGATGCATTTCTTCCATGTCGTTTTCCCTCTTGGACGAACATTGTTTTCAACGTGGACCTATATCTACATTCATGAACAAGTATGTCTCCAATTTAAAATAATTAACTTTAACCTAGCTTTGTTAATTATTGTCAATGCATGGCCACAGCCAGCCTTATGAACCTTAATTATGTATGAACTAATTAATCAAAACTTGTTAATTATGTCATTGTGCCCAGATGGCTATAACGTAGCACCTAACATTCATTCGAGAAAGTCACAACACACATGCATCGATCCTCTTGTGTGTGTACGTACTACCTGTGTGTGTGCACTGTATAGGTGATGTGACAATATATGGAGTTGTAGGGACGAACATTCTTGGATGGCGATTACACGATGCAACAAGTCACCAATTAATCCATCAACATTTGACAAATTTCATGCTTGGTTTCTAAGTAACCTAGCTAGCTATAGCCTATATAGTTAGCACACATACATGTGTGTGTATCAGTGTATGGTACTCACATTCTTAGTTTGATTTATTGTGTCATTCATATGTTGTACCATGCATATAACATTAATTTGAACATGTAAAAGTGAGTAGTAATGTAGTGTAGTTTGTGGTTTTTGGAGTTGGAGGTGTCAATAGTTAATTAAGGGTACGTATTGATTAGTAGCAGAGTAGTACTATCTAGCTTGATTAATTGACACGGCAATCCATTAATTAACAAAGAGTTTTATTGACACTAGCTATGTTTGATGCTTTGTTGCCTTTTTGTTAAGCCATCTCTTTCCAGTAATATTAATGTAACATACCCAAAACTAACCATTTTCTAATCCTGCATCATGCCGCTTTTTATGTTTATAATAACTTCCTAAACCTAGGAAAATACAATTAGAGGGACCTTCTAAAACTAACTTGCATAAAATCTCTTTCTGGTATTTAACTTCTTTTGTGTTTTTCATTTAAAAATATAGTTGGTTAAATTAAGGTGTTTCTTGATTTGGTTTTAATTTAAAACCTTCCTTTGACTAAAATTCTTTTATTCAAATTTAGTTTGAAACCCTTTTTACTTTTATGAATTATGATCCAAGAAACCTTCCCATACTGTCCTAGAACCTAAAACAAAGCAATTCCAATTTTATTAGAATTAATTTTTAACCCATCTTTTGATCTTAAACCTATTATTTGATTCTTGATCCAAATTCTTCCTTTTGATCTAGCCACTGATTTAATTCATGTGGCTTGATTTCCTCTTCGGCACGAGAATAGTATTATTGCAAATATTGTGAATAATTGCTCTTGTGCTAAGAAAATACCAATTTATATTCTTCACTCAACTTTCCCTATTAGCCACAAATAATTCTTCAAATACTTCTACTATCAAATTTAGGATTCAAATCCTATTTATTTTACCTCCAACCATTCTCCTCCAAACATATATATACATTGAGGAATTATATTGTTAATTCCCCTCTCATTTGAGTGCATTAAATTCCACCATATTCCACTTCCAAAAATATTGCACTCAAATTAGAAAATATCTCTTTTGGAAATTAGATCCAAATATAATTTCCTTTCAACCTTCCCTATTCAAGTTATCTCCAAATATATTTTCCTTTCAAAATCTTCTATTCAAATTCCTTCCAAATACAAATTCTCCTCTAAATCAAATTATTCAGCCCAGGAAAAATTAGACTTTCTTCCTTCTATGTTTGGGCCAAATTCTCCTTTTCCTCCTTTTCCTTTCCTTAGTACAAGTCGGCCCAATTAGCCCAGCCGGCCCCACCGCACAGAAGCAGCCGCTCCATCCTTCTCTGTGGACGCCGCCGCCATGCGCCATCGGTGCGCCGTCGCCCACAATCCTACCGCCACCGCCGCTAGCTTGCCGTCGACACTAAGAAATCGTTGCCGACGTCATCCGCCACCTCATACCGTCGACGTCAGTCCCTGGAACGAATCACCGTCGTCCACCAATCCAGAGACGAAGCGGCGCCGTCTTTTCTTCCTTCACGACAGCGTCACCGTGGCCGAGTCGACGACCGCCTCTACAACCGCCTCCGGAAACCGCCTCTCCACGACCTATAAATAGCCAGCAACCCCTCCCTTTTTCTCCACACAAGCCGAGCTCCTCGAGCTCTCTCTCTCTTAGCCATGTCCGACCATTGCCGCCCCCACCCGATCTCCCTTTCCATAGCTCCACAACCCAAACCCTCGCACCATCGGCCTTGCCTCGGCGAGGTGAATCCATTTTTCCCCTTTCCTCTCTCCTTTAGCCACCGCCACCACCCATCACCGCCACCCACCATTGCCGGCCGAAGAGAGCTCTTGTTGTCGCCGTTCCGGCATCCTCCCTCTCCCTCTCTGCCAGCTACCGCCTTCCCTGGATACGCGGTACTCGGGAACATCACCCGACACCGGCGTCGCCGTCTTCCAACTATCGAAGAGCCGGCGCCCCTCCTCCCTCTCTCCCCTCGGTTACCCGGATGGAAGGAGGAGAAAGAAAGAAACAGGAGGAAGAAGAAGGAAAAGAAAAAGAAAAAGAAAGGCTGACAGTAGAGTCTATTTTATTTTGGATGGCAACCTGTGGTATCTCAAGGATCGGATAATCAGGTTGCCTATCTCGGATTTATTTGCGTTGGAGCAAGGCAAGTTATTATTCCTCCCCTTGTGCATAATTACCCTATATTCTATATTTCTATTCTATGCATTAGCCATTCATGATTTTGAATGCATAACCTGAACATATAGCAAACCAGATATGCTAGCTTTTGCTTAGCCCTGCCTAGTTAGACTGCATAAAAATATAATGAACTTAGATTGGGACAGTACGTAAGATTTGGTTGATTTCCGGGTGGCTAGTACTGTCCCGGTCGATATAATTGCCACCAAATACTTATGTCAAACGAACGAGTATGACCGCAGCTTCTAGAATGGGGACAGACCTAGATATTATGTTAATTAACAATGTGGTACCTCTGTACAGTGGTTCCTTTTGTAAGTCCTCGCGCAGGAGGCAATCTTATGCCGAGCAGGGCATCTTATGATATTTACCGAGGTGCAGGTAAATATACTGATTTTCACTCATGAGCTGTGTGTGTGATTTTATGGAAACCTGGTTGAGATGACGTGGGGTCTCTCATCCAGTTCTCTCTAAAAACCCCAGGAACGCCAGAACTCCTCTCGCTGCTGATAACGTTACGTTCAGAGCGCATGGGGACTAGAGTTCATGGAATAGGTGCCACTATTGTTAATAACCTAATACTGGGCCATGACTAAGCTAATGAATATTGGCAAGTCGTGGAATGCGGGTAAAGCGTACATCTACTGCAGTAGAATATTCATGAAACTATTCGAATAGCCGTGCTCATGGAATTGAGTATCGAGACTCATATGGTATTTGGTTAGAAACTTAATTCTAGATTTTATTAAATACTGTTGCATCAAACACATTGCAGGATTTCTCCTTCTATATTCTCTGCTTTCTGCAAGTAATCATAGCCCTACTCAAATACTACTAATTCATACATTAATATTGAATATAATAGCTTGCTGAGTACGTTGTACTCACCCTTGCTTCAATCCCCACCTTTTTCAGAGTCCATTTGGAGTTCTTATCGAAGCCGGAAGTTCAATCACATAAGTTAGTTCCCTTTAAACCTAGTCTTGAAGTCTAGTATTGTTATATGGTTTAATTCTATAGCAAAACGGCAGAGTTGAGTCATCATATAGCTTCTGTTGTATTAGTTAGCCACAAGTTTGTAAATACCCATATATTTTGTAATAACATCTCCTCTGGAGTCTTGATCAAACGTATGCAATGAAGATCCAGATTGTTGAACCTGTATCAATCTACTGATCCAGGGCTTGATACAGTCTATACATGTCGGTTACCGAATCATTAGTTTTGGGACCTGACAATTAATTGGTCTGATCAAAACATATGTGATATCCAAATTAAGTGCCTCATGCAAAAGTGCACTAAGATTTTTTGCAATTCAAGTTGTTAATTTACTAGGAGTGTGCACATCTTCGACAAACATGGTTGGAGGTTTAGCAATAGGATAACTTATTAATGTTGTTAACTCTGTCTTTATGTTGATGATCTTTTAATTTTCTTGCCATCCTATGTTGATGATCTTTTAATTTTCTTGCCATCCTATGGATTGTGAATGTAGTTTTTAACTGTGAACATTGTAATAAATTAGCTATAGCTTTTTAAAGCAAATAAAAGGCTGGGATGTTTTAAATTCCATTACCTAAATAAAAAATGAGTGTGCATATGTAATATATGGTCAAAGCAAAAAAAGTTTAATGTTGTTCCTGTGTGGGAAGTTTATGAAAAACATATATATGAAATTAAGCATGGGGGATTTTTGAAAATATATGAAATTTCAGGTGCACAACAATCGATTTTGTTGATTAATTATCACCATAATCGAGAGGTTATTGGTGAAAACCAATGAATTTTCAACAATATTTACCAAAAGTTCAAACTATAGGTTGATTTTTTTAACTAGGTCAAATTATAGAGTGGTTTCTAAATATGATGCAGCTCAAGATGATAGGTTAATTTATCATAATAACCAAGTGATTTGTCTCTATTGTAAAACCTCTTACAAGTTACAATCTAGGAAATATTAAGTGTTATACTATAATTGTTTTTGAGTTGTTGCCTTTTTTTAACTTAGCTTTTTTTTGTTATTGTTTAAGATTTAATTTGGTTTAAAACCTTCCAACATTTGACTCTCTATGAATCATGCACACACATTTTCTCATATGCACATGTGTGCACATAAACACACACTTCTCATATATATGTTCCTTTCAGTATAATTTCTACGTGCCTTACGCATCTAGTTAAGACTTTTACGTGCATGAAATGGATGACGTAATTAGCTACCATCACAAGTGAGAAAGGAGCTTAATTCCCCAAGTGTATCATATTAAAATTAAATGCGCCCATATATGCATGATGACAGCATCCCACATTGACGTCTATATACACATGCGCACACAGGCGCATCGTGTTCTTATGAAATAAAACAACGACATATTTTTTTAGATAGCGATGATTATATAAACAAAGAATTGAAGTAGTTGCTAACTACAGAGATTGTCCATTATTCATGCATGCATGTATCCAACTATACAAACAAACACAATACACAATACAAACAAACAAATAGAAGAATCCAAAAGAGCAAAGAGAGGGGAAGACAATTCTGGCCTTTTTTCTCATTTTGTTGTCATCCTCCTGTGTTTATTATAAATTCACTTAGATACATCAATCAAATTACACACTCCAAAGTGCCATGCCATGCACTCATACAAGGTGGTCTCTTTACAAAAAACCCAATTGACACACACTATTCAGTCTTCACACTCCAATCCAAAAAAAAAAGTAAAAAAACCAAAATAAAAGCTCTTGGAGAGAGATAGAAAAAAAATCCAAAACACAATAAATTACGCGCGCCTTTAATTTGCAAAACCTCATTATTTCATGTATAGACAGATCAGATGGGGTAGTAGTGAGAGCTAGATTGATCAAAGGGAGATCAAGATCAGATCAGAGATGGGATCAGATGTTGTGAGATGCAAAATATGCACATGCAAGTTTTTTTTTCCCAAAAAGAAAAAAAATTGGGGGGGGGGTAGACATAGGTTATTATTACCAACTTAATCATGGTCATTTGGTCCCATAAAAAGGAGGGAATGAGCACCACTTTGCATGGCCTCCAAGTTGGATGATGTTAGTACTTCTTGATCCCACATCAGCAGATGCTGTGCTTCTTCTTCATCCCACTGATGATTTTCATGCTCATGCTCATGGTGATGCTGATGATGATGATGCCCTAGCTGCCTCTGCTCCTCCTCCTCCAGCTCAATCTCCAGCTGCTGATGCTTCTGATGATGCTGGTAGTAGCCATTGGTGGCGGCCATGGCGGCGGCTGTTTGGCCATCTTCTAAGCTGCAATCCATGGCCGCTCCCATGGCTGCCATGCCGTCGACCAGCGGGGGCAGGTAGCTCGGCGTGTCGGCGGCCATCGCCGCCGTGAAGCTGGCGATGAACGGGTGGTGGTGGTGGTGGAGGTGGGTTGGGATCAGTGATGACGGCGGCGGCGGGCTGATGGCGCCGCCGGCGCCGGTGGTGGTGGTGTCGAACATGAAGAGCGGGCAGTGGTGCGGCAGCCCGGGCACCGCCGGCGGCGAGTCGTCGCCGGTGGCGAGCTTCGGCGGCAGGGATGATATCAGGTTCTGGTTGATGATGGCGTCGAGCTGCAGGTGGTGATCAGCGCCGCCGAACGCCGGCGGCGGCAGGTGGTGGTGGTCCGACGTCGCCGTGCTGCACGGCGGCGGGTTGTTCGGGCTCGTCGTGGTCGCCGCGGCGGCGGCCGCCGCCGGCTTGCGAATCTTCTTCTTGATCCATGAATTCCAGTAGTTCTTGATCTCGTTGTCGGTCCGGCCAGGCAGGTGGCTGGCAATGTGGGCCCACCTGTCAGAGAGACAACAACATTAATTATAATTAGTTAATTATTCTCTCTATGGTTTATATACTGATACTACACACCATCATATCTTGGTCAAATTAATCATGCGACTAATGATCAATCAAGTTGGTACTATAGATATATATACTATGTATATATATTGAATTCAAGAATATAATATAGTTGTGTGATGCTGTATGTACACTTAATTTGGAACCCTTTGTTTAGAAGTAATGCTACTCTCATGTACGGCTTGATTTGTTATAATCGTCGTGTTCAAGCTAAACAAGTAGAAAACGACGGCTAATACGATTTGTCATGCTTGACGTCAACATGATGACTTGCTCCTTTCAACTTAATTTTAACGGAGAAAAATCGAAAAATCTTGGGAAAATTAGCATAATCAAGCTCTGAGGGCCATATATAAGTACCATACTAGGACACTTCAGAATCACCTTTAATTATCTTTTGAGGAAATTTCATATCACTTTTGTCATGTGATGTGTCACTGACGGGATTATCGATTGTTAAATCGATATTACAGTGAACTGAAAATGAAGCAAAAGGAGGAAAAAAATTCAGAAGAATAGGAGCATCGACAGCAATTGTTGATGACAGGGCAGCAATGGAGATAGATAGTCGTCATTGCCGAAGAACAGTAACACATCATTCAAACAGATTTTTCTAGATAATATCAGTCAATTAGCTGAGCCTAGGATGTAATGCAATCATCAAATTGCAAGAAAAACAGCAAAATTTGATCAAATGCCATGCATATCTCTACTTTGGGGGAATTGGGGAATCTTCGAAATTAATCAAGAATTTAGAGAAGAATAATTATAGCTCGATTAGGTAGTACTTGGTAGGTACTAATAATAAGGTCACCATGAACTAACTGATCATCGTGTTGCTGCTGCTGCATGCAAGAACCTACCTGTTGCCAACAATGGCGTGCAGGCTGATGATGAGCTTCTCCTCCTCCGCCGTGAACCGCCCTCGCCGGATGTCCGGTCTCAGGTAGTTGATCCACCGGAGCCGGCAGCTCTTCCCACATCGCTGCAAACCTTCACAAACCACCACATTGCACACAATTCAGCAATTGACAGATCAGTTCCTCAAGAAAATGTTCATCAATCAAGCAATGATAGTTCATCCATCTCATTGAATGTTCATCAATCAATCAAGATATTGGGGGATTAATCGATCGATCGACGATATGCGGCGTACCGGCTTTCTCCGGGACCTCGCTCCAGCAGCCATAGCCATGGGTGGTGATGTATCTGATGAGCTTCTCATCTTCCTCAGGAGACCAGAGGCCCCTCTTCACCTTCTGCTGGTTGCAGCAAGAGTGATGCCCCATGCATGCACTCTAGATATCACTGGAATCCAAGATATGAACAGCTAGTGTAACAACAATATAGCTGCAAGTTCTGCAACTTGCAAAACCTATATGCAGCAATTAACTATCTTGAATATATTCTTGATCTAGCTGCTAGCAACATGACATTGTTGTCATGGAGGAGCAAAGGGTTTGGTTGGTGTTTAGCCCTTTTAATATGCATGAGCTACCTTCTCTTAGCTATAGCCTCTTGGGGGGTGTCCCTTCCTCTCTTCTACCTCCAGCTTCTGTCTCCTTCACTCCTCCTCCTCCTCCTCCTCCTCAAGATTAATTAATTAATTAATTAATTGTCGGCTATGTATAATTACAATTTTATTTAATTAATTTGCTTCTTGAGGGTCCCTCTCCCAAGCAAAACTAGCATGCAAAGGCATGAGCATTACACTTCCATTGCATTTTTCCCTGGTGAGGGGCCTACTCCCTGTTCCACTTTAATTGGTGCTTTCTATCTAACACTACAGCGACATGGCATCAAACACAGAGAATTAATCAATGGTTGCTTCACTATTAGTATTTCTAACTTTGGCTAGCTATTATATACATAATCTTGAGCATAGGCACACATGACATGGTAATTAATTAAATTAATGTCTTGATCAATGTAGAACCGTTAGTGGCAGACGCAGGGAATTTTCCATAGCCTAGACAGTGGAAACTCACTACACAAACCACAATTCTCTTAACTCGTTGATACCCCGCACGTTATTACAATGTTAGTAGGTAAGAATTAAAAGGAATCGTACTAGGCTCATATATATATCTTGACGATAGGGCCTCACGCATGTGCTCCTTTATAGAAGTAATTACCGTTAGTGGGTTGTAACTATACAGAAAGAGATTATCCTTTTTATATATATTATACATGTGTGTATATATAAGCTATTTAATCATACATGGGAGAAGTATGCATGTTGTGATAGCACCATTTATATAACTAACACGTAGAAATGTACAGGATACTGATGTCAAGCATGCATATATATACTTCAACCTGATGCATACACATGCATATGTGATGTATATATATATGGACGAACGATGATGTTGTTGTCAAGAGGAAAAGCGTATAAATGGCTGTGTGGCTTTGGGCTGTGTTGGTAGTTAGCAAGCAAATGTGAAGTTTGGTAGTCTGGAGACGACGATATGCGTGTGATTTTGATGTTTGGATTCGAATCTGTCGTCTGTCGAAACCTAACCTTTTGCTCTCTGAAATGAACATTGATGTACGCACTACTGACTGGGAAAATTTGGCTGGGTTTTCAGAGTTTTGTATGTCACTCATGCAGTGTCACAATCGTATAGTGCTTTCAGAGTTTCAGAGTATTTGTATATATACATTATAAATACATGCAACATCAGAATCACACTAGTACGTAGCATCAAATACGTATCAGAGCCTCGCAGGAGTGAATAAGAAGTTTCAGAGTAGAGTAATTTTATCATTCCTGAGAAAGTATAGGAATGTTCCAAATTTTCTAGTGTGACATTTGATCAGATACTAGGTGATATGTTTGCATACCTGAATTTCACAGGAACTAGTAACTAGTAAAAAATACACTTTGAAAACTGAAATTCAAATGAGATCCATCCAATGCCAAATTAGTGCCATAGTTGGACTATATATGAATTAATCTCCAAGGTTTTCTTAACCACAAAAATGGTTTGTCAGTATCCATATAGTTGTACTGATGGTTTAATATAAGGACTAATGTGGTCCTTTTCTAGCAATAACATGAAAAATACTCTAAATAAATGCACACTGCAGATTTTTTCTCTCTAGCTAGCTTGTTTTTCCCTAAAGGCATTTTTTGCTTTTTGACCTTTTTTACCATAAAAGAAAGGGAGAAAGAAACAAAACAAGTGTGTACAGTTCCCTTCAATACACTTCCAGTCTTTCTGATAGATATGTAATTATTGTAAAGCTAAATAGAATCGTCTCACTCACATACAAAGATTAAGTGATCTAGGGCTTGTTTGGTTTGAAACCCTACCAAAATATTGGTAGCACCAAGCCTTAGACAAATTTTGGCACTACCAAATTTTGGATAGTATAGATTTGGCTCCACTCTATTGATTTGGCAAAAATTGGCTCCAATCCAAAATGCTAATATGCACTATTTAAAACTACCAAAGAATTGTTATGGCAAGAATTGGTAACAAACCAAAATACCCCCTTATCACATGTGTGAAAGCGGGCCCCACATGTCATCGACAGAAGGTTTCGATGCCGAATACACTGTACACCAGGGCGGCCCGCATCACACCGGAGGGCCCACGCTGGGCCCATTGGCAGCTGCGGCGAAAACGGCGTGTCGACGAGATGGACCACCGGAGGAGAAGAGAGGGGGAGAGCTTGATGGAGAGTGAACTCTCTACAGTTGCAGTGGACACTGGACAGCAAGGAGTACTGCTGTAGCAGACGTCCCCTTCAAATCTTGGCAACCATAAACATCTCATCGCCCTCTGTACGATCGACTGATCAATCGAATCGAATCGATCTGGCTCATTTTTTGAGCATGATCAACAAGCTGATCAGCTGGGGGGAGGGGGGGGGGGGGTTGGGTTGCAGCCAAAAGCAAGATTCTCTTTGATGATCTCATTAATTGTCACAGCGATCTTACAGGGGCTCATCCAATCAGTGATCACCTCTGTCGTCTATTATCAGTTGCTGCTGAATTATTTATTTTGTTTCCTGCTCTTGAGTTTTCTTGAGCTGTAGTAGTAGTTGGCACTGTGTTCACAATAGTTCATTAAGATTGTTTCATGTATTTGTCGATGATGTCTCTGTATTCAATAAATGAAGCAGAGGGGTTCAGATTTTATTTTCTTTATTTCCTTTTTTGCAATGCTAGATACTACAGTAATAAATACCTGAATGAATCTTGTACTGTCTATTACTGATACATCACTCTCTGATGGACTTGATGACCTAACGTACAGTTTGATTTTATAGAGAAATTTTGTTCTTTTGGCATTCTGTGAATTTTGGGTTTCTCTGAATATTGGCCTGTATACAGAATGGAACTGAATTTACATTCAGATTATGGTATTAACATTCTTTACCCAAAAAGAAGAAAACATAATAGATCACCAATTTCTGAGACTTGACATCAGGGAAAGAGGTGTGAAATTAATTGCAAGGCTTCAACTAGAATTCGGTGAAAACAACTTTGTTCAAATCGGAAATCTCTATTTGAGCTAACTGAAAGAATATAAAAACTTCACTCGATTCTAAGCAACTCCCAAGAACTTAATCTATCTCTGTCTGATAAGAAACATAAGACGTCCCCAAAGTCCTAATTGCCATTGTGCAAAGCAAAACAAGTTTCTCTGGCAAACTAACTAATTAAGCCAGCCATCATGTACATCACAAATCACTCATCAAACTCAAATATTTAATGCACCATACTGCCCAATATGTAGTTATCTGTTCTTTGAAAAGTATGTAGTTATGTACTGCTCTGAAACCTGAATCTATTCAAGTCAGAGCTAGATGTTCAGAAATTCAGACCAGTTCCATTCATCAAACAAACTGTTATACTGGTGTTTATAAACCTGCAGTTTTATGACAAAATTGGCCCTAAATATTTTTTGTGATACTCCACATTAAATTCGTAGTATCAGATAATTTCGTTGCTAAATCATAGTTTAATTTGTTATTTTGTTAGAACTTGTTGAAGTTGAATTTGACACTGAATGGTGCTGCGAAGTGACGTATCATGTACCAATTTATCTTGTTAAACTTATTCACATTATTCTATAACTATTTGAGTAACATGCAAGAAGCGAGTGTATGGCTCTTCGAGGGACACAAATCCATCTCCCGACAATTCGATCAAAATATAGTTTGCGAAGTAAGCATAGCTCAACTGATTAAGATTCTTGTTGTGGTGGAACCAACCCAGTAACTTGATACGGGTATTCACATTTACGGCCAATAATTATTCTTTCAGTGGTAGGTGATGTACCCGTCGACAGTCAGATGCTCATGGCGACTTCGTCAATCTCAAAATATATCGGCTCAATCTTTCGAAGATGCTCACAAGAATAAGGCATGTGTGCTCCTTCATAGGAATGAATATGCGTACTTTGTATGCGCCTACGTTAATTTGTACCACGTTTATAAAAAATATATCGTAGTTTTGAGAAATTTACTCCGGTTTCACTAACCATACGCGCAAGAGAACATATTCAGGCACATGTTTTGATTAGCATCGTCACCGAAATGCAACTAACAAGCCAAAGGGATGATCTGCCGGGGCCAAAAAAAGCAACTCGATCCCAATCATGCATGCCCCCCGTCGTCGTCGTCGCCGTCGCCGCCGTGGCGCCACCGGACGCCGCCGGCCGTGTCGCCGTCGCCGTCAACCGATATCGATCCATCCATCCATCCATCCATCGTTGGAGATCATTGCACACCAAGCTTCCTCCTCTCTGATCATCCTCTCGATTGATCCACCGATCGATCGATTCCTTGGCCTTCACTGTATTCGTTAGCTCCGCGGTGACGCTGATCGCATTCAATCGAAAATCGTACTACTGAATTTGCTGCATTTGAGTACTGAAATTTCATCCTCTCAACTTGCAGACGACAATATAATTCCTGCATGATGACAGTAGTACCAAGAACGTAGGTCGATGATGTAGATATCCATAACTAATCAGCAGGAACCAATCAGGGTCTCTGAGAGAGAGAGAGACTAAATGTACTCTCCTTGGGGAATTAATTGGGATGGAGAAAATTTTTGCAGGTAGATACATCACCACTAACTGAACAGCAATTAGCAATTAAGTACAGTCATTTCAGGTAATTAATGTATACCGAATGTGTGTCTCTGAATCCATGTTGGTTTTGTAGTACTGTATTGATTAATTTCTTGGTAACTGATTCAGTTGTATGGTTCAGTACATGTTCCTGAAATACTAGTAATGAAGTGATGAACAGTTAACAAATACTCTCTTTGTCAAATAAGTGTAGTTTAGAGTTTAGCCTCAGTAAATTTAGTTTTGGAGTGGTCCAATAGATCTCTTTAGTAGTACTCTTTCTGTTTCATATTATAAGTCGTCTGGCGTTTTTCCTAGAAAAATTTCTTTAAGTTTGACCAAGTTTATAGGAAATTATAGTAGTGTTTTTAACACAAAACAAACATATTATCAATATATATTCAATGTTAG